GCACATTAAAACTGAAAATGAAATAAAATTAACAAAATTGCAAGCATGAGAGTATCGAACGCCTAGCCTAGGGTCCAGTATTTTAAGTACACATCAGCTGGACTAAATTCATTTACTTTATACAACTATGCACACTAAGATTCTTATTCTTTACTTTGATGTATACGAAATTTCCCGGGGTTCACTTTTATGGTGCGCTCTGCAGCGGGGCATTCCACAGGCTTTAGAGACCCAGTTTGCTAGCTCGTGTTTATGTTGCAGTGTGATTATAATTTATATTCGAAGTTGCATGCATGATGATCAACATTCCCTAGCTATAGACACATGTCTAGGCCAAGTCCACTTTTCTCTTCTTACCGCGAATGGATCCACTTCAAACTGAGCAAATTTCACAGTCTTGATAGCTCCTGTAGGGATACATCACTCCAGGAATCCATGACCTCAACTGTAAACACAAACGAAACCATTACTATGAAATTTGACTGTGATTCTGGGGTGCATTTTATACTAATTTTGGCCTCAACCAAAGCTCATCAACACCGAATTCAACACGTTTCGACCAGGTCGATTGTTTTGTTTTTTAGGTACGGATCGGATGAAATCGGATCTAGTTTTTAACAAAATTCACACATGACTCAACCCGTCAATTACAGAAGCGGGTAAAACTCGCTCCCGATCCAAATTTGGTGAACATCGGTTTAATTCACTTTGACTGATCGAATTAGGTCGAACCCCCATGGATTTGAGTTAAATTGTCATAAAAGAAAAAAAAATTCAACGAAAAAAAAATAAAAAATTTTTAAATGAAATACAGAAGAAACTTAAATACAAAAAAAAATCTTAAATGGCACTTAAATAGTAGCAAAGGCAAGCGAGGCGAGTTTTTAACAAATCCATAATATATTGTTTCGAACTAATATTTGTAGAAAGGTGACTAACGACGTGTCAGATGTGGTGTCTAAGTAAATGACGTTACATTTAGTCGAATTACGTACTCTCAAATAAAACTATTGTGTATTTTTCTTATGAATATATATTGAGGACTTGAAAAATACTGAAATAAGGATTATCATTATAATAAATTATTATTATTATTGTTATTATAGAATATAGAGGCGATCTAAGCGAGAAGAATAACATTGAGATTAAATTTTATAAACAGTGATGCCAAAATCTTAATAAAACTATTGGTGAATGGCTAAGATACTATCCTAACTATGGTTATCACGTCGGCCGACATGCCACCGATTAAACCTGGTTCAACCGATGTCAGTTATCAAACTAGCATGATATCATCGGTATGATAGATCTAAGAATTTTTAAGTAAAATGACGTCGTTTTAGTGAATTTAAATATGAGTACATGTAATTTTATTTGAAATATCATATTTTATTTAAATATCAATATGAATTGTACATAAATTGTCTTCAAATATGGTTTATATATGACTAAATTTATTTGACATTAATGATTTTTAATATTTCCACATATTTTACTAATCATTCTGAATCGGCACAAATCGGTTCTACCACCGATAGAACCATTCCACTTGCTAAACCGACACAATGGTATAAACCGGTTCGATTCCTAACATATTTTTTTATTGGTTAGTGAATGTCCATCAAGAATTAAAACAGTAAAAGTGTGACACCCCGATGGCCCGATATAACGTTATCTGGCCTTACTTCTACAATATGGAATTGCGATTGCCCCCAGCTTCTTGGACAAAAAAACACACAACCCCCTGAGTCGTTATACCTCTGTCCAAAACATCCTCCAGCTGGACTAGTCTACCTCGTCGTTGTACATCGCCATAGCCCAATTAACGACAGATACAAGATTTTCCCGATGTGTCAAAATCATAGGCTCCCAAGATACTCAAACATGAACAAAATTATGTAAACCTCCCAAGAAGCATTTTCTCTTTTACGTCTTTCAGCTAGACGCAACTTGGTATCGTCAAGGTGGATAACCTCACCACTAGAGAGGTTGGAGTTGCAGTGAAATATGTTTTCACTCGTTGGCCATTGATTCTGATTGAAAATAGTACCATTGGCCATCATCGTTGATGAGGTTCACAAACGAAGACGCAAATTGAAAAGAAGCACTTGATCGATCTACTGGTTCGAAATCTTTATTGGTAAATATAATGTCGTGGTATCACTTGGTAGAATCTTACAACAACTTAGTACTCTCAGAAGCGTTGACCCCGAACACTTCCAGCAAAAGCTACATCCATTCGCTCTTTGATAGCCCAAAAGCCTTTATAGTTGTATGATACGTTCAGAGAGTTTCATCAAGTTTTGTACGTTGTCCAATCCTTCTGGGATCCATCAACAGTATTCTAGAGAATCTATTTAACCTCTTTGTTTGTGACCCCAACTCGTATACCCATTTGAGGATGATAAGATGTAGATTTCTGATGAGGGACTCCAACTTCAGGACACAAAACATGGAGTTCTCACTAGAAATGTGGTCCTAACACTAACTACACCTTGTGGTTGCATAAACCAAGATTATTGACTATTTCAAAGAAACTAGGGAATAGTTGTATGAAATTAATTCCCTATACATCACAAAATTCCACTTTTGAAGTATTGTTTGGGGACACTTTTCTCCTTTATATGTTCCCATTCATGGGCACACATCACATGAATTAGAGTACCGACAACAATCCTGAAGGATGGTGGCAGTGGCTGACTCAAAAAAATTTCATAGGGGTGTCGTCTTTTAAAAAAATAAATTAAATAAAAATAATTAATTATAATAAAATCGTAATATGAAACACCTTACTCGTACAAGTTAAAAAAGTCTATGATGTGTTTTCATATTCGGAAATAATTGTAGAATACACTTGGTGTCTATAGTGTTAAAAAAATGTCTCTGTATACCCTACTAGACAATCATTCACGAATTTATCGCATATTCGATTTGTAAAGTTGTTCTTGATGTTGACCAAAGCTGAAATACTCTTTCAGCACTTGCCGTACAATCATAAAATCAATACAAATTAAGGGTAGCTTGAAATTAGTTTAATTGTTAAGTTTTTAAAATAATTAGAGATTACGGAATGACATTTTACTATTACACATTGTTCAAAATCGAACAACAAATGAGTTGTAGCTCAACAGAAATTAAATTTATTAATAATAATATTATTCTAAATTTGAATTACCCAACCTACCACTTATATTCATATACACAAATGACAGCAGGATAATCATTTTTTTCAAATTTCAGGGGTGTCCCTCACTATCAATTTTTTTTGTCCATACGTAAATTACCATCATGGATTGGATAATCGTTTTCTCAAAAATTTAGAGGTGTCCCCTGGGCCGCCCCTGGATGGTGGGCCGATAAAATCCGCAATCTAAAACCTTACGAGCCATTCTCACTAAAATGTGGTTCCCCACATGCTAGTCCATAGTTAAGGAAATTCACTAAATTGACGTAAATTTGAATTAAAGACCATGATCAATCATACCGGTCATACATTTGGTATTTCGGTCAGTTTCATTATCGACACCAATTATACTAGGTTCAACTGGACGCATTCCACGATCGTGATGACCATCTAATAATCAAATATAACATGACTTGTGGCATGATAACACCTGAAATATATACAACTTTTTTTTGTGCTTATTTACTATGCAAACTTGCAGGGAGTATGATAGCACTTGGAAAATATACATATTTTCAACCACACTATATATCGTAACGACTTGTAATTTATACCATGACTACGCATGATTCTGCACGTGTCGATCTTTTCCCTTTTCTTTGCAGTGTTAATGTCATACATATTCTGGCCTTTTGTTTTGTTGGTGTTGAAGTAGAAACTTTCCAACAACCAAAAAAGCTTTGATTGGAAGTACAATAAAAAAAACTAGGCAGCCACGTAGCCAGGAGCAGAAAAAACTAAAGTAGAAAAGGGAAAGGGAAATTAACCAGCGGGAAAATAAGATGTGCCAGCTTAAAATCAAGTGGGTTAATGACACAAATATTGTGTTTTTTTTAATTACCACAAATATTGCGGATTAAAAGGAATTGACACAAATATTGTGTTTTTTAGTAAAGTTTGGGGCGGGACCACCAGAGACTTAGGCGGGGCCGCTGTTTTACCCAGTTCTGGGTGCTGGCGCCCCAGTCCCAAGCGGCCCCGCCTTGCCTATTTTTTTTACCCAGTCCTAGGCGCTGGCGCCCGAGTCTCCAGCGCCCCCGCCTCACCCTTGTTTTTTTTTAATTGCCGAACCCTCGGGCCCCTCCCACCTTATCTCCTCTTCTTCTTCCTTCCTCTTCTTCCCTCCTCCACACCCCCCCCCCCCCCACCCCTCGAACCAGAGAAGCAGAGCAGCCGTCGGCAGCGCTGCCGCCCAGGACTGAGGCGCCGACGCCGCAGAGTCAGGCACCGCCGCTGCCGAGTGGAGCGCCGCCGCTGCTGACAGAAGCGCCACCGCCCGAGATGTCCTCCGACGAAGAACCAGTCGCCGCCGGCAGAGGCAGGGGGAGAGGCCGGCGAGGTCGTGGTGGAGTCGGCGGCCGTTTGCGCGGTGAGACTCTCGTCGGCGGCTTGAATTTTTTTTTTAATGTTTTGTGTTTTTTTTAATGTTTTGTTGCTTTGTTTTTGCAGTTCCTAGGCTTATGGATCCTTATTCGATGAGATTACCGCCGACGACAATTGATCCAGCTCCGGTCGATCCGACACTTCTTTGGAGACATGGCCAACATCGTATCGACTCTGTTTGGACAAACGATGTAAGTATTTGATAATTATTCATGTAAAGTTAATTAGCTAATTAGATTATTTTAGTTGGTGAACTGAACTGTTAGGTGAAATTAGTATAATTTGAAATTAGTATAATTTGATATTAGATTAGACAGATTATAATTTATTAGGTGAAATTAGAAATATTACGAATGAAAATGAATTAATATAAGTTTTGTGCACTATAGGCTGGTGATCGATCTTACCATGTTCGAGGTACGACCATTTTAGTACCTTACCATGAGCTTTATCGGCCATATCTCGAAGCGGCAGGCTTGTTAAGTGTCGTGCCCCTAGTTCCTATGAACCCCGATGCGAGTTTGATTACTGCGCTCGTAGAGCGGTGGCGACCCGAGATGTCGACCTTCCATCTACCGTGTGGTGAGATCACGATCACGTTAGAGGACGTTGTTACACTATCCGGTCTGGCGATCGACGGTGATGTTGTCGTAGTTGATATACCGGATGAGGAGTGGTCGGCGATCTGTTTGAGACTGTTAGGACGGGTTTCGGTTGATCTTGTAGGCGGTGTCGCTGTTGTTAGGATTGTTTGGCTGAGGGTTGAATTCAGTCATCTGCCGGAAAATGCATAAGGGGAGGTTATTGAGCAGTTTGCACGAGCTTATGCTCTATCTCTGATTGGTGGTGTACTTTTCCCGGATCGGTCTAGAGCTACGGTGCACCACGCCATTGAAGGTGACGACTTCAGATTGAAGGTGACGACTCCACCACGCCATATTGAAAGTTGCGTTGTAGTGCGTGGTGTTTAATCGCCATCTGTGCAGCTTGTTTCGAGTGAAATATCTGCCCCTTGTAGAATTCTCCTTCAAAACTATCAACAATAGGCATTGGAATTACGCCATATGAATCAGCAAGTGATAATTCTTCGTCCTCTTCATTACCCTGCAAGTAAAAATATGGAGGATAATTAAGCTGCACTCCTTCCCCCTCTTCCTCCTCCTCCTCCTCCTCCTCCTCCTCCTCCTCCTCTCCGTCATCACCGTCATCACCGTCATCATAGTCATGATCGGATGGCACGCTCCATGTATCATCTTCTTCCTCTCCACCCTGATTCTCACTGAGCTCAACATGTATCTCAGCACCCAAACAATAAGGATTTTGTGCCATAAAATTCCAAAGCACAATCAAACTATCATCATCCACAATAGGTATCGCATAATGAAATAAAACACCATTCTGCCATTCTGGAAGACGGTAAGTGAAACCTGTGATCACATCACTATCTTGTACTGCTTCGTCTATACGCCGTATTCTCGCAATTAGATTCTCACAAAGTTTGTGATATGTGACCCTGGATGGAACCGTCAACTGAAAACTACTACCACCAACGAATTTGACGCCCAAATTATCCTCTACTTTCTCCGATTTCCACCGAACGACTAATTCAAATCTTCTAAAATCACTACATAAAAAACAAACTCATTAATTAAAACTAAACACAATCATAATAGCATTTGAATAATATAATTACAAAAATAAATGTGTCTCTTACCTATTAGCCATTTTTGCAGCAGCAACCAGAGCTCTCTCCTCTATTTTGGACGATTTTTTTTGTGGTGTGAATCTGAAACGAAATTGGCTGGGTTTTTTATAAGGTGGGTGGCCAGCAATAAGCCAGCGGTGCCACCTTAGTCTCGGGGGCCAATCACATTAGTAATTTAATATTTTTTTTTTTTTGCTTCATTAAAATAAAGATTAACATTATGTACAATGCACAAAATTCTTCAACTACACCATTTGTATTCACAAAAATCCACTAACCCAACATAAGGTAAGGTCAGTCACTACGGTCCAAGAAAAAGCTAGCAAAGAACCAAAAAGGGTTTGATTGCAAGTTTGGTCACTCGAATTGCTATAAAATTTCACGTTTGCCACTCAAATTAATTTATTCCATTTATAGTCACTCGAATTAGTTGAACAGTTCAAGTTCGGTCACTCTCCGTTAACCTCCGTTAACTTTGACTGACGTGGCGGTCAACTCTGACAGTTGACCGTTAAATGTGTGACGTGGCAAATAAAAAATAATTAAAAAATAAAAATTAAATTTTTAGAAATTACACATCATTATAAAAAAAATTATAATTATAAAAAATGAAAAAAAAAATTATCACAAAAAAAGACATAAATAACTCGAATCAAATAAGCGAGTATCATCATCAACTCAAGAACTGAATCCCCTCCCATCCCCCAACATTTTAAACAAAATAATAATAATAATAATAATCATGACACCACCAATATACAGTCCTTGTTCTGGCGGTTGCGTTCATCTTTAGCGACGGAAACTTCGTCGTCGTCGTCGTCGTGGAAAGCCGTCCAAACGTAACCAAGGTCTATAGCATTTGCGGGTTGAAGCAAGAATCAGCGACCAAATGAGAGGCCTAGCATTGATCTCACTGGGAGAGGCGATTGACACAGCACAGCCCGGGGACGAGCCCTCCTGCAAAGTATACATAGAGGGCTATCTCACCGTCGCCGCATCGGCATATTGCTTCCACTCGGTTTCTCCCGGCGACTGTAAAGACTGTCTCCATAAGACTCGCACCCGGCTATAAAAATCATATTGCTTCCACTCGTATTTACGCAGCGGAGGAATTCGCTAGTCCGAGATCCATGAACTGCCGGGGGACCACCACCGCTCCTCCACCGTTGTTGTCCTGCTCGTCCGCCGGCGGCGAAAGCGGCGACGGCTTCTGATCGTGCATCAGCGACATTACGTGCATCTGCAGCGCGCTGTAGTTGTTGTTGACTTGATTCAGCATCTCTCTCAGCCGGAGATTCTCCACTTTCACCCGCTCCAGCTCCGCCTGTAGAACCACCATCTGAGATGATGATTAAAATATGATTCGCAATTAAGAATAAATTAATTTTTTTTTTGTGATAATTTCTTTTTTTCATTTTTTATAATTATGATTTTTTTATAATGATGTGTAATTTCTAAAATTTAATTTTTATTTTTTAATTATTTTTTATTTGCCACGTCACACATTTAACGGTCAACTGTCAGAGTTGACCGCCACGTCAGTCAAAGTTAACGGAGGTTAACGGAGAGTGACCGAACTTGAACTGTTCAACTAATTCGAGTGACTATAAATGGAATAAATTAATTTGAGTGGCAAACGTGAAATGTTATAGCAATTCGAGTGACCAAACTTGCAATTAAGCCAACCAAAAAGGCATATATAGCCTCTTTTTGTGTTTTTTTCCTTTTCTTTTCTAAGCAATATATGTCTACTCAGATTTTGGTTATTGTTTCTGTTGCATTTCCATTGCCAGGCACTCGTTCTTACTATTTTGGTGTGTGCGACTTCTTGCTGCTGGAGTAGTCAGTTTGCAGCTTTATAATTCCTCTTCGTCAATTTTCCTTTTCCTTTTCTACATTTGTTTTCTCTTTTCATTATGCTCCTAGTTTTGGCGCTGTTTACTGTACTGTACTTACGAATCAGCTTTTTTATTTTTATATTTTAAAATAAAACTTTCAAGGAAACTCTTTTTGGCGTTTGCCTGTTAGAAAAAAAAAGAAAACAAACATGAAAGCTGGCACGCGGAGACGTACCTCATATATATATATATATATATATATATATATATATATATATTCTTAGCCCAAATTCACAACGTCAAACCATCCTAGTAATTAGGTTGGTATGCTACTTTGACATGTAATGTTTTCTACGGTGTTCACTTTGTGGTGAAAATTGTTTGTTTGCATTAGGGTTGGGCACGTGGGTGATTAATTCGCGGATTGATATCAATACACTTGCAAATAACTCGATCCGCATGTAGTGGGTGATTGATATGGATGGATTGCGGATTGATAAATCTCCCACCCGCACTTATGTGGGTGGGTGGTGGGTGGATTGCGGGTCACTCGTATGACCCGCGTCCTATTTTTACATGAAAAAATATCGTTTCTTATAGTATCGAATATTTATCATATTTTTGAACTAAACAACAGTCTGATCATATACTTCGAAAGGTGGAGAATAAAGAATAGTTTTGACTACTATTATTGGTTATTGTGGTGTGCAATTTTCATTAGATATTGGTATGACAATCTTTGTTAATATCCATTAATTATTGGGATGCAAAGTATAAATTATTAATTGTATCAAAATCACAAATTATTGATACAATCTTACTAATTTGTTATGAACTTATTATAAATGTTAGTCAACTTTATTAATAGCTAGTTGGAGAATCGTTTTTGCGGGTTGACCCGTGACCCAACCGCATCAATCCGCCACCCACCCAACCCAACTCACAAAAGTATATGGGTGGATTGCGGGTCACAATTATTCCAACTCGCTAGTAAACGAGTAAACCAATTTAAGAGCAAAATCCACCCAACTCGCCCATTGCACACCCTAGTTTGCATTACACTGCTAATGGGGAGAACGTTCTATTATGCCGCAAGTCCTCATTTCATTTCTTCTTTTTTTTTTTTAGGGAAGTCCTCATTTCATTAATAACCACGTGCATTCTTTTGCATATGGGTGAAAATCTATTTCTCTCATGTTAACTAACTTTCATTAATTAACCAATGAAAGAAAACTTCTCATGGTTTCAGTATGCACAAATTAGTCAAATACATATGAGGTGTAATTCATATATAGGTCTTTACATGACATGATTTTTAAGGTAATAAAAGCACTAAAAATAGATCATTTGATTTCACCTTCCAAATTCCCCTACGGAGCATCTCGTAGTTAGGAGAAATAATTAGGTACTCCCACGGGGAACGGATCAGGTCAGTAACCTTATGGTGAGTAACCATGAGTAACCTGCCCATATCAGCATGACATCAGCATCCTCTCTCTCTTTGAAAGCCTTTAAATTTCCCCTTCTTAATATTTGAAGGACGATTTCTCACTCGTTTTAAGTCGAAATTTAATTTTTTCACAGTTAGATCAGATTAATTGTGTTCTTCAAAATGATATCCACTTTGATATATTTTTCGAACAAAAAAAAATTGAGCCATTTTTTACTAGTCTATACCATATGGTATTGACTGGTATTGAAATAAGAGCATACCTATGGTTTGAAAAGCGTACCATGGTGGTATGACACAAACCAAAACTGTAGAATGGTTGAATACATGATAGTAGAGTATATTAATTGTCATTTACGATTTTTAACATTGTATACCATAAGATACCACCCCATACCAGGGTGGTATTGTATGGTATTGTGTGGTGTTTTTTGGTCTTTTAATTTGTCCACCCAGAAATTTGTAGATCCAATAGATCATGACAAACTCGTCCCTGTTATGCAAACGTTTTCAAAAATGAATTAAAAACGAAGAAGATACCATATGGTATGCAGTTGGTACCGAGAGGCCATAATTTTTTTTTTCTCAAAAAATATTGAAAATTGATCTCATTTTGTAGAGCACGATGAACTTGTTCCATCTGTGCAAAAAAAAAATATCCAAGTTAAAATGAAAAAGATATGAGTCAATTAAGAAAGTTAGAGAAAATAAAAATGACATTTAATTCTTCATCCTTAAGATCTGAATTTTTTAAATGAAGGGTCCAGATTTGGTTATTGATAGGTGCATAACCCATGGTTATGTACCCTATTTTAAGCCACTCCCACTTAGAAACGATGATTTGGTACTCGTCCTGACCAATAGAAAACGACTTGATTCAACTAAATCAATTATCAAATCCTAGTGATTAATTCCAAGAAATAAATTATGTGTATCTTGTGAGGTTATTTAAGTTAAGAGCACGTAAGCTTCCTTGGGTCAGCAATTTATGGCCAATCACGGATAGTCGTGACCCAGCCTTTCGGCTTGTTTATCAACTATCAAGTAAATTCTTCCTTTCCTAGACTAGGTGTTGTTTGACAGACACACATAGTGACTCGTGAGTCTGGAAAATTCATCTAAATTCCTATTGTGGTATATGGTAATTAAATGTAACATAGCTAGCCACCGGCCCCTGAATCACTCCGAGTTAAATAGAGTCACTTCCAGATGGCTTGAGGGTGGTTAATTTATGAATATTTATCACCAGGACAGATTTGTCAGTTATGAAAAGTTAAAAACTTGTCATTTCCACCTCATCTAAGGGCTCGTTTGGAGAATTGGAGTCTAAATCAATAGATTCTAGACAATCTAAAGATTTTAACTCTCTAGATTGTTGAAAAAAGATTTGAAAATGTTCATTGTTTGGTAATTACGATTGCTAACATCCAATGAAAAAAGAAATTCAATTTTTTATTAAATGATATGTTTATCCTTAACTAAAATAATTAGATTGCTCGAAAACTATTGAGAATTTATTGGTGAGGATATTTAGTGGGATAAATGAAAAAAAGAAGAGATATAGTAGGAGAAAGAAAATCTCCAAAATCAAGATGTAGAATCTCTCTAATTATGAGAGATTTAATATCTCTAGATTTTAGAGATTTAAAATCTCTGAAACTACAATCCACGATACAAAAAGTAACAAAAAAACATAACATTTTACTAAATCTATTGATTCAATAAATCCATGACCCAAATCTTGTTCTCCAAAAAGAGCCCGAAATTTCCACTGATTAGTCTCATTACATGCATGACGCATGCCTTGAAAGTTGAAACCCATATGTGCCAATCATCGAGAATGATATATTTCCCTTTGTAAATCACAATCAAACACAGAAAGTGATAAGAAAATTCGAAAATTACGTTATTTGAGGAGAAATGTCACATTTTAGTAAATGTGACATTTTTTTATATTCAACAGAAAAAAAAGTCACATTTACTAAAACCTTTCACTTTTATGGGAATACAAAATAATAGGAGGGACAACAATTGAAAGAAAAATGAGGCAACAATCACAAGTACAAACATTTAAAATGAATGTCTCGTCAAAAAGTAAACATATACATTGTTTGTTATCAACAAACAATAAACTGATGAACTCTTTATAATATATATATGTATTATCTAAACTTACATAAATAATAACAACTACGTACCAACCGACAGCAAGAGCATTCTTTTCCATATGGGGTGAAAATTTGTTGCTGGCAGTTCAAGGTTATTCGGTTTGGGTAAATCATGATGATGTCTTTCAGAATTGGGAGAGAAGTATGTACATTCTTCCCAGTATTTGTTTATACTTTTGAACTGTCATGTTTCACACCTGATATTCAATTATTTGGTCTTATTTGGTCAGTGTTATGGGACAATCCAAGTACCACATCGGTTATACAAGGGAAGGAACCCTTGTATATTAGTGTCCACCAATCTCATTAGTACGAGGTTTTTTGGGGAGGACACCCAAGAGTAAAATCCGTGCGGGCTTGGCCCAAAGCGGACAATATCGTACTAATTGAGCGGCCCGGTTTGACAAGTGGTATCAGAGCCTGGTTCGGCAGATCCGGGGCGGTGGACGTCAATTCGGTGAACCCTCGCTCGGTGACCTCGGGGTTTGAGATCTGCATATGGTTTGGTGGATCCAGCAGAGATCCATGTTTGGGCTTGGCGGATCAAAGAGAGTTCCGCATTTGGGAAGCAGATCAAAGAGAGTTCTGCGTCTGGTAAAGTCCTTGTATCGGAAGCCCATCGATACAAGGCATCTGGCGGATCAAGATAATCGCTGAGGTGAGGACACGATGTTCGTGGTCCTTGGCTTGAGGGGAGGATTGTTATGGGACAATCCAAGTACCACATCGGTTATACAAGGGAAGGAACCCTTGTATATTAGTGTCCACCAATCTCATTAGTACGAGGCCTTTTGGGGAGGACACCCAAGAGTAAAACCGTGCGGGCTTGGCCCAAAGCGGACAATATCGTACTAATTGAGCTCCCCGGTTATGACAAGTGGTATCAGAGCCTGGTTCGGTGCGGGGCGGTGGACGTCAGTTCGGTGGACCCTCATTCGGTGACCTCGGGGTTTGAGATCTGCGTTTGGTTTGGTGGATCCAGGAGAGATCCACGTTTGGGCTTGGCGGATCAAAGAGAGTTCCGCATTTGGGAAGCAGATCAAAGAGAGTTCTGCGTCTGGTAAAGTCCTTGTATCGAGAAGCCCATCGATACAAGGCATCTGGCGGATCAAGATAATCTCTGAGGTGAGGACACGATGTTCGTGGTCCTTGGCTTGAGGGGAGGATTGTTATGGGACAATCCAAGTACCACATCGGTTATACAAGGGAAGGAACCCTTGTATATTAGTGTCAACCAATCTCATTAGTACGAGGCCTTTTGGGGAGGACACCCAAGAGTAAAAACCGTGCTGGCTTGGCCCAAAGCGGACAATATCGTACTAATTGAGCGGCCCGGTTTGACAATCAGAGAGGTAATGTACAACCCGATATAAAGCTATTTGGCCTTACTTCTACAATATGGAATTACGAGTGCCCCCAACTTCTAGGACAAAAAACACACAACCCCAGAGTCGTTGTACCTCTGTCCAAAACATCCTCCAGCTGTGTAAACAAGAATAAAACCGCGGAATGTAAATGGGACACAAGATTTACGTGGTTTCCCCGAAGATCGGGACTAGTCCACGGTGGTGAGCATGAAGCTCGATGATGATCACTAGTGATGGTGAGTCTTTTGTGTTCTCTGCCGATTACCTCATTAGGGTTAGAGGAAAGGCCTAAAACACACCTATATACCCTCGACAATGTACACGGGTATAAGGTAAATTACAATAAAGTACTTAATAAAGAAAACCTATACAAACAAGGTTAATACTCCCCCTCAAGCTGAAGCATGAAGGTCACGAATGCCAAGCTTGGACAAGAGTGTGTGAAACTTATCAGTACCCAGGGCCTTCGTGAAAATGTCTGTGAGTTGCGAGAGAGTGCCAAACTTGCACGGGGCGATCTCGCCAGAGCTAACACGCTCTCGGACGAAGTAGCAGTCCATCTCCACGTGCTTAGTGCGCTCATGGAACACCGGATTGGCAGCAATGTGAAGGGCTGCCTGATTATCACAGTAGAGTAGAGTCGAGGCACGTTGTGGTACCTGCAACTCGTGGAGAAGAAAACGTAACCAAAGAACTTCACTTGTGGTACTGGCCATGGCACGATACTCCGCCTCGGCAGAAGAACGGGCAACCACTCGTTGCTTCTTGGCACGCCAGGAGACCGGGGCTCCGCCCAGCTCAATGTAGTAACCTGTAGTGGATCGTCGACTGAACTGACATCCGGCCCAGTCCGCGTCGCTGTAAGCAATGAGATCAAGGGAGCCAGCAGCAGGAAGGAACAAACCCTGCCCGGGGGCACTCTTCAAGTAGCGCACTACCCGATGTGCCGCGTCCATGTGAGCAGGGGAGGGGGAATGAACAAACTGACTGAGCAGATTAACAGAGTAGGCTATGTCCGGGCGAGTGATCGTGAGATACAGGAGGCGGCCTATGAGGCGGCGATAAGAACTCAGATCAGTCACACGCTCCTCAGTCAATCGTGTCAGTGTATGGTTCTGTTCCATAGGGAAGGCACTGGGTCGAGCTGCAGTCATACCCGAATCTGCAAGAATATCGAGAGTGTACTTCCGTTGACTGAGAACAATGCCATCAGGAGAACGGGCAACCTCGATCCCGAGAAAATATTTCAGAACCCCCAAGTCCTTGATGCTGAACTTGTGATGAAGAAACTCCTTAACTCGGGCAATAGTCGCAGGATCATTCCCGGTAAGCACAACATCGTCGACATAGATGAGGATGGCGACGAATACATCTCGTGCTTGAAAGAGGAACAAGGAGTGATCGGCTTTAGAGACAGTGAAACCAAATTCCAAGAGGGCCTCGGTGAATTTGGTGTACCAATTTCGAGACGCTTGTCGGAGGCCGTAAAGGGATTTACGAAGTCTGCAAACACGGGTATCACCGGGCTGCGCAAATCCTTGTGGCACCTTCATATAGACCTACTCGTCGAGATCACCGTGGAGGAACGCGTTATTCACATCTAATTGATGTAACGGCCAATTCTTCTTAGCGGCAACAGCAAGGAGAACACGAACGGTGACCAACTTAGCCACGGGAGCGAAGGTGTCATGAAAATCAATCCCTTCAAGTTGAGTGAACCCTTTGCAACCAACCGAGCTTTGTAGCGATCGACCGTGCCATCGGGGTTGAACTTCACTTTGTACACCCATTTTGAGTCGATGGCGCGCTTCCCAGGGGGTAAATATTCCAAAGTCCAAGTCCCTTGAATTTCCAAGGCCTCGATTTCTTTCTGCATTGCTGCGCGCCATTGCTCGAACCGGACCGCTTGGGCATATGTCCTCGGTTCATATATGTGAGACAAGGCGGCCAAAAAGGCAGAGTGTGAGTGAGAAAATCGATGATAAGTGACGTGGTTAGATATAGGGAATTGAACATTGGAAGAAGAAGAGTGAGGCAAGGTTACCTCAAAACCATCGAATCGGGGCGGGAGCTTGTGTGGGCGCGCCGGATTGCGACGAGGCAAAGGAGGTGGCGATGTGGTACTAGACAAAGCAGGTGCTGAGTCCAGGGCTGGCTCGTTCAGCTCATGGGAATCAAGAGCCTCAACAGGAGGAGAAATGCCCAAAGGAGAGGCCTCATGCACGGTAGTGTCAACGCCTGCACGAGGAGAAGGAGGTGCAGAAGTAGGCTCATGATTGGCAGGCTCCTCATCCGCCAGCAAAGGAGGGAGATCAGCGAGCTCAGCATGCATGGGAGTATCACGTGGGGAGAGCTCATCATGCATGGGAGTGGCATCACGTGTGGACATGGTAAAAGGAGGCAGTGGTGTGCCAGCCACTTTGAGAGTGAAAGGAAAGATGTGTTCCACGAAGTGAACGTCTCTCGAAACCAAAATCTTCCGACTGCGAAGATCGTAAACCCGATATCCTTTCTGAGTGCCGGGATAACCAACAAAAACTCCTGCTCTCCCCCGTTCGGCGAATTTATCAAGCCCGTGGTGTGTGTCTTTCGTATACGCGAGGCAACCAAAAGTGCGCAAGTGAGTGTAAGTAGGCACCTTGGTCAAAAGAACTTCGAAGGGGGTCTTCCAGGCGAGTACCGCGGAAGGCATCCGGTTGATCAGGTAAGTGGCAGTTAAGACGCACTCACCCCAGAAACGGACAAGTAAACCGGCATGAAACATGAGCGCACGAGCAGTCTCCACGAGATGTCAATGTTTTCGCTCCACCACCCCATTTTGCTGGGGGGGTGTCTGTACAGGTAGTCTGCAAGATGATTCTGTGCTCTTCGTAGTACTCTCGTAAGGCACGAGTCTGGAACTCCAACCCATTGTCTGCCTGTATGCGACGAACCTTCCTGCCATACTGAGTGAAAACAAGCTGACAGTACAGAAGGAGATAGCGCTCAACATCAGATTTAAACTTCATCAAGTAAACCCAGGTTGAACGACTAAAATCATCCACGATAGTCAGGAAATAGCGAGAACCATCAAGAGCAGGCATTCCATACGCCCCCCAAATGTCAATATGTATCAAATCAAAACATCCACTCGTCCTTATGGTGCTACTAGGAAAAGGTGTGCGAGTTTGTTTAGCTCGCAAACAGGAATCACAATGAGGCGAGTCTGAAGACGGAGGAGTACAACCGACAATGTTTCTCAAATGACTAAATTTATCGGCCGCCAGATGTCCGAGTCGAGCATGCCACAAAGTGGATGCCGCCAACGAATGAGCAACCTGGAACACTTGACCCTGCTGCTGTTCAAGACGTCGCGGCAAATAATAGAGCCCATCCTTAAGACGACCCACTCCAATCAGCGTCTTGGAAGGTGAGACCTGAAGGATGCAGAAATCAGACAAGAAAGTCACTGTCACATTATGATCCTGTGCCAATCGACTAACCGATAAAAGATTGCATTTGAAAGCCGGAACGTGCAGAACTCTATCAAGTCGGATAGAGGCTGAGAGACCAACAGAACCAATGCCGCGAACGGGAATACCAGACCCATCAGGTATACGAACCTGTGAGTGATCAGAACTCGGCTCTACTGAATCCATCCAACTAACATCCCGAACTATATGTTCATTACAACCAGAGTCGAGTAACCACATATCAAGTTCAGGACTATTACCCGCCATGTGTGCCGTGGGTGCAGAGGGAACGTCGGAGGCATTGTTCATCAAAAATTCACGAAGCTGAGCAAGTTGTGATGTGGAGAGGCCAGGAATGAGGGATTGCTGGTCGGGCTCCACATGAGCCGCTTTGGGACGTTGACCAGTTGAGGGTGGGCGATCATCAGCGGGCTTAGCACGCGGGTGGCCAGGAGGGAATCCCACCAGGCGATAACAAACCTCTCGAGTGTGCCCTAGCTTGTTGCAATGGGAGCAGCGAGTGCGTTCCCGATCCGACTGCGGCTGACGATCCCGATCAGATTGCGTCTGATCCTTCTCGGCCTGCACTTGGAAGACGGCCGCGTCAACCGGGGGCGCCGAGAGCTTGTGATGTTGCGGTGATGTTCCTCCGCCGAGACCATTTGGTAGGCATCCGCAAGGGTCGGCGTGGGCCGAGTGCTCAGAATCTGAGATCGGACGACAGCGTAGGCCTCGTCCAGCCCCAACAAGAATTCAAACAGCCGCTCAGTGTCTTGTTTAGCCTGGGATTGATGGACCCATTCACAGGAGCAGCCGCCACAAGTGCAGCGCGAAGCTCCCCCTATCGCTTGCATCTCGTCCCAGTACGACCAGAGCTGGGTGTAAAAGGCGGATACCGATAGCTTGTCCTGACGAAAGCTGCCGATCTTGCGACGCAGCTCGTAAGCCCGCTGAGCCGAACCGCGACTGAAACGCAGCTGCAAGTCCGCCCAGATGTCTCGAGCTGTAGACGCTGTGCGCACGCTGTTGCGTACTTCACGAGTCATTGCCGTTTTCAACCAACCCTTCACAGTCGCATCGCAACGGTCCCACGCATCTTTGTGCAATGCCGTGAGAGCCTTGGATCGAGGGAGTTGGCCATCAACGAAAACGAGCTTGTTCTTAGCGATCAGGGTTTCAGTGATGTCGTTTACCCATTCGCTATAGTTGGAGTCGTTCAATAAATCGCTGCCGAATAGTTGAGCAGGGTTTTCCGAAGGGTGGAGATAGAGGGGTGAGCTGATCGGAATGACACTAGCCTCGTTGAGCTGATCGTGACTGCCGCCGCTAGACTCATCTTCTTTACCCATGATGTATTGAACCGATTCTCACAGCTCTGATACCATGTAAACAAGAATAAAACCGCGGAATGTAAATGGGACACAAGATTTACGTGGTTTCCCCGAAGATCGGGACTAGTCCACGGTGGTGAGCATTAAGCTCGATGATGATCACTAGTGATGGTGAGTCTTTTGTGTTCTCTGCCGATTACCTCATTAGGGTTAGAGGAAAGGCCTAAAACACACCTATATACCCTCGACAATGTACACGGGTATAAGGTAAATTACAATAAAGTACTTAATAAAGAAAACCTATACAAACAAGGTTAATAAGCTGGACTAGTCTGCCTCATCGTTAGACATAGCCATATCCCAATTAAAGACAGATCGAGATTTTCCTGATGGGTCAAAAACTTAGGCTCCCAAGATACTCAAACATGAAGAAAATTATGTAAACCTCCCAAGAAGCATTTTCTCTTTTACGTCTTTCAGCTAGACGAAAATTAGGATCATCGTTGACGAGGTCAACAAACAAAGACATAAATTGAAAATTAGAAGCACTTGATTTCCTAGTTCGAAATCTTTATTGGTAAGTCGTGGTATCGCTTGGTAGAATCTAACAACAACTTAGTACTCTCATAAGCGTTGAGCCAGAACACTTCCAGTCGGAGGACGTCGCCGCGGCTATCAGGGAAGACGGTTTGGAGGATGGTATGGAGGTGAATGACGTCCCATTGTGCCCGAATATCCCATTCACCGCAGCAGAGGAGCGTCAATATTGCAGGAAGCTGAGGTCAGCTCTTGTGGTGAAGGTGCTGGGTCGCTCCTCGTCTTACACTATCGTGTCTCGGCGGCTAAATACTCTTTGGGCGAAGGAAGGAGCCATCCAAGTTGCATCAGCTAAAAACGGATACTTCATTGTGCGATTCACCAGCGGCATTGACTACGAAAGAGCAGTAATGGGAGGTCCGTGGATGGTGGGAGACAATTACCTAACAGTTCACACGTGGAACAAGCACTTTAATCCTTATAGCCACGAGATCTCGTTAACTCTGGTTTGGGCACGTTTACTTGATATTCCGGCTCAATACTTCAACACTGATGCTGTGATGAAGATCGGGAAATGGATAGGAAAACCTCTACGGGTGGATCAAGCGACGAGCACGGGAACTCGTCTGGACTACGCAAGAATCTGTGAAGAGGTCGATCTGTCAAAACCTCTACTGTCCCAGTTTAAGATCCATGGAATAAAGTACTTTATTCAATACGAGGGGCTGGAGAAAATCTGCCTCAATTGTGGAAAATATTTCTAGAGATCTGGATGCTACTGCTCGATGAACACCTCTTCGTAATCAGCTGAGGAACCTACGCCCAAAACACCATGCAAAGAGACTGATCAGGACCCAGATAAAATCTATGGGGAATGGATGATTGCCAAGAGAAGGCCACGAGCTACGCGACAAGGTCCTGGCTCCGAGACCAAATCCGCGGGGGTTAAAGTCACTAAAGTAGACAGAGTCAGTGGCTCGGGCTCACATTTCACAGCTCTAGTAGACGACAATTGCATGGAGGAAGATTTGGTCCAACCAAGTAAGAACTCTACGCCATGCCCGCCAGCTGAAACTTACTCGGGAAGGGAGTCTAGAGAGAAGGAGCCGGCAGGAGGCAAGGTCAGGTCTACCAGTACGAACAAGGGAGGAAATGCAAATGGTCACCCACATACGACTACCTCCATGCCCAAGAAGACCGGCGAACCCTCCTCCCAATTGAAAACCACTAGCGAGGTATGGAGGGAGACTCTTCCGCAGCATGGGGACCCTTCCCTGAGTCAGCAGCAAGAGTTGGGATTAACCCATCAGCCAAATACCATGCCCATGGACACCAGGGAAGCAGCCGAGGATGCCTCCCTCACAAACGATCCTATCAGTCGAGATGAGAACAATCAGACACTCATTGCGCCTGCAGTGGGCCATCCTCCTAATGCCGATCTAAACTCACTCAGTTTAATGACAGAAGGGACAAACACCAACGTGAAATTGATGCCCGCAGGGAACAGCGATGGAGCCATCCATCAGTGACGTGCCAGGGAGTTTCCTCTTCCTCAACCTTTTTATGGATTGTAAAATTTTTTGTTGGAATTGCAGAGGCGCCGGTAGCCGGAGCTTTCTTCTCACTTTCCTTGAGTACAAACGTAGAACTCGTCCTAACATTGTGATTATTGTAGAGCCTAGAATTAGTGGGAATACCGCTGAGGAAGTGATCCGGGACATGGGCTATGATAGCAAGCTAATAGTTGACGCAGTGGGATTTTCGGGGGGGTATTTGGATCCTTTGGAGCTCCTCGGAGCTCACTGTTACAAGCAGTGTTATTAAAGCCGAGCCGCTCGGCTCGACCGGTAAAACCGCCACCCGGTCACAAAACCGGCTCGGAACAGTCTAAAAGCCGTTCCGGTTTTATGTAGCGGTTGGCGAGCGGCCGAGGCGGTTAACCGTTCGAGCCGATCAAGCCGCTCGTCCGGTTTTTGCCATTCAGTCACTAAATTTAATTAAAAAAATTGTAGACAATTGAAAATTGAAATAAACCAAAAACATCGGGCTCTCAAATTGAATTCTTATTTCCATTTCACAATTTCGAAGGAAAGAGATGAGCTCTAATTACGAAATGTCCACTATTTATACTGATAACGTTTATTAGATACCGGTTCTCTAACGGTTTTTTAATGGTCTAATGCCGGTTGGACCGCTAAAGTGCGAGCCGTTCGTATTACCGGGTCATGCTCCGGTTTGATTCTGACAACATTGGTTACAAGGATAGATTCCCACCCGCAATTTCTTCATGTGAAGGTTCAGCACGTAAACACAGTGGACAGCACGTGGCTTCTCACAGCGATCTATGGAAACTTAGCGCCCATGCAGAGACGTGAGCTGTGGTCTGCGATTCGAAGGTTGGCTGAGGAAGCTGAGGGTCCGTGGATTCTTATCGGGTACTTCAACTCTATCCTTCGGCCAACTGAAAAACTTGGGGGAGCACCCTTTGATGCTACTAGAGTCAAATACTTTCAAGATTGTGTTAACGATTCAGGCCTAGCTGATCTTGGTTTTTCGGGGCCAGATTTCACTTGGTTTCGGTCAGGTGTCCGGAAAAACGCCTGGATCGTGCCCTAGCTAATAACCACTGGTTAACCTCGTTCTCGGAAATGACCGTTAAACACCTGGCTCGGCTAAGATCTGACCACAGGCCCCTGCTAGCTTCGCTGACGAACCATACTGCTCCGGGAGGGCCTAAACCGTTTCGGTTCCAGGCTGCTTGGCTCACCCATGAGGACTTCAAGAGAATGGCTAGTTCAGCTTGGGCGCGGGGGGCGAACTTCAAGGAATCAGCCGATGCATTTGCCCAAGACGCCAAACAATGGAACAGATTCATCTTCGGATACATTCATAGACAAAAAGACTCACTTCTAAGGAAAATCGAGGATTTGGAATTGCAAGATAGGGGCCTGAACTCCTTGCCTAGCCTAGCAGCTGTCCGGGAAGTTGGAAACGGTTTTATTCCAGGAGGAAATTATGTGGTGCCAGAAATCTCGGCAGGAATGGATCAAATGGGGTAACCAAAATACGAAGTTCTTCCACACCTATACTATCATGCGAAGAAAAAAGAACCGTATCACTGCTCTAAAGGGTCTTGATGGGAACTGGATTGAGATCCCGGAAGAGCTACAGGAGCTAGCCTGTAGTCATTTCAAGAACCTCTACACCGATGAAGGAGGTGTCTTCCTTGACCTCGGCCATGCATTTCACCATTTTGACGAGGCTACGTGGATGAGTGTTGGTGCCTCCCCTTCTCAGGACGAAATCCGAGATGTCATCAGAAGCATGGGGCCACTCAAGGCCCCGGGCATAGACGGACTCAGCCCTATCTTCTTCCAGAAGTGCTGGGATATCGTTGGTGAGTCATTATCTAGTATGGTACAGGCGTGTTGGGCTGATAGGGGGCATGTCGAGGGTATTAACTCAACTATCCTAGTCTTAATCCCTAAAGTTCAACACCCGGTCTACATAGAGCAATTTCGACCTATCAGTCTCTGCAATGTGGCTTATAAGACCCTGACTAAGTGTTTAGCTGAGCGTCTCAAGCCATTGATGCCCTCCCTTGTTCATGAAACCCATATGAGTTTCGTTCCTGGAAGGCACATTACAGATAATATTTGCATCCTTCAGGAGGTGGTTCACTCGATGCGAGCTAAAAAGGGTCGTAATGGCTGGATGGTTGTTAAAGTGGACTTGGCAAAGGCTTATGATCGAATCCGGTGGAGTTTTGTGAAGGACACGCTCCAAGCTATTAGCGCAACCTCGGATTTCGTGGAACTGGTCATGGCGTGCATTACCTCGGCTTCGATGCAGATACAATGGAACGAGGGTTTGTCTGATCCCTTCAGACCTTCTCGCGGACTCCGCCAGGGCTGCCCTTTATCGCCCTATATCTTCACCCTCTGCATGGAAAGGTTGGGGCACATTATCACGATGTCGGTGCGGCAGGGGCAGTGGAAACCAGTTAAAATCACCAGCAATGCCCCAGCGCTGTCTCACATTTTTTTTTTGCAGACGACCTCATCCTGTTCGGAGAAGCGTCTTTACACCAGGCAGAGACCATTAATCATTGTTTTGATACTTTCAGCGCCTCTTCGGGTCAGCAAGTGAGCAAGCCTAAATCGAGGATCTTCTACTCAAAGAATGTGTCCCCTCAGCTGAGATCCCATATCTCATCCTCGATGGAAATCCAAGAAACGGTTAATCTGGGACGGTACCTAGGGGTCCCGGTCATTCATGACAGAGTGTCAAAATCGACTTACATTGACTTGATTAATCGCATAGATTCTCGTCTTGCAGGTTGGAAGGCAGCCACGATGTCCCTTGCAGCTCGGATAACTCTGGCTCAGTCTGTGCTGTCTTCCCTCCCGGCCTATACCATGCAAACGGTTCTCATCCCGGCTAGTGTCCATGACTACATCGACAAAAAAATCAGGGAATTTGTTTGGGGGAGCACGGAGGGCACCAGGAAAGTTCACCTTATGGATTGGGCCACGATCTGTGCCCCAAAGGAGGAGGGAGGGCTTGCACTCCGTGACTCAAGACGCACCAACGATGCTTACATGCTGAAGCTAGCCTGGCGGATGCTAACTAACCCCGAGGAGCTTTGGGTCCGTCTCATCAAAACCAAGTACTTTAAGCTCCGAGAGGGTGAGTATGTGCTCCGTTCCCAGAGAAGAATCTCAAACCTTTGGCGAGGCGTGCTGCGGGTGTGGAACCTGATCGAAGTTCGGTCTGCTTGGAACGTAAGAAATGGACGCACATTGAGGTTCTGGAGTGACTGTTGGCTCAATGATGGCGAACCTTTATTGTTGTTCGCCACAGAGATCCCCCAGGAGGCCCTGCATCTTCCCGTGGCGGATTTTATCCTAAATGGTGAGTGGAATGTAGATTACTTACGTGCTTTCTTACCCCATTCTATTGTGGCGCAGGTGCTACTCCATCCCATTCCCGAGGAGCAAGAAGCCGACGTGAGGACCTGGAGACTCACTGCCGACGGGAAGTTTTCAGTCCGCTCCGCGTACCAGCTGCTTGCCCAAAGCCAAAACCTGCCCGAGACACCCGATATGGAGTACAATCTGGCGTGCACCAGCCCTGCAGCGCACGAGAACCTTTTTATGGCTGGCCTCACACGATCTCTTGCTTACGAACTCGGAGAGAAGACGGCGCCACCTTACCGAAGACAGCTCGTGCAAACTTTGTGGTGGCAGGCCGGAGACTACCATGCACATCTTGAGGGAGTGCCCAATGGCTAGAGCTACTTGGGCAGATCTTCTGGACACCGAACCTGACGAAGCCTTCTTCGGCCAGCCTTTGAGGAAATGGTTGTTCCATTACATTGCAGGAAGAAGCCCCTTCGTGGATAGCACCCTGTTTGCTTGCACCTGTTGGCTTCTGTGAAAAAACCGGAATAACCACGTGTTCCAAGGTGAGTTACAGTCCCCTGCTCAAATCCAGTTCAACACAAAGCAGCTCAAGCAGCAGATTCTTGCTGCCCTCGAGAAGGAGAACGAGATATTCGGAGGAGGGGGACCTCCGATTAGCCGTTCGATCCACTGGCAACCGCCACCACTAGACTGGATATGCATAAACACCGACGGCTCGGTCTTTCAGTCTCCTTTAAGCACGGCAGTTGGCGGCATCGTTCGGGGGGGCGATGGTCGCTTCATCAGAGCTTTTACTGTGAGCTTGGGAGGGGGTTCGATTACCCGTGCAGAGCTGACTGGAATTGGACAGGGACTGAAACTTGCTTGGGAACTCGGGGCTAGGAAGGTGATTCTCCAAACCGACTCACTCATAGCAAAAACTCTCATCGATACTGCTTCTGAGCACCATCCTCATTTCGTGGCCATTGCTGATATCCGTTGTTGGCTTCAGAAGCCTTGGCAGGTTCGAATCGAGCATGTTTATAGGGAGGGGAATTATGTTGCGGATTACTTGGCTTCCATCGGTCATAACTATCCTGTAGGGGTCCATGTTTTTTATGCCCCATCAAGTACTTTAGCCTACTGGTTGTATTTCGACATTATTGGGGTGGAAATCCCCCATCTTGTTAATGATTAAAGGTTGGGGCTCCCTTTAAGCGCTCCGTTTTCCGACCAAACAAAAAAGAAGACCACAAAATCCTATTTGTATTTACATTTGATGCCAGAACATATCCGAAAAGTGTCAATGAACTTATGTATGACTAGTAAGAAAAACAAAGGTTGCCATATCGGGCCGGTTCAATTGGGTCCGACTAGAACCAATCGTCTAAACTGTTAGAATACACTCCGGTGAATGGTTATGAAAAATGTCAAATCAAGTTAAATCAGTCGAAATCAAGTTTAATTTGGTGATATATGAATATAGATTAGTGAAATTATTTCAAATTATATCAAATACATGATTAATCTATTTGCTATTGGAGGGTTTTCTAATCAATTTGAACTGATTGAATCCGATCCAACCATTTAAATCTGAAACCACTTATAAACAAATGCTTAAACTAGTTCACAATATTGAGAAAAATATATGTATGACATTTCTAAATATGAACAGGGGAATTTTTTTGAAGTGATTAATCAATCATAATGATCTAATAATAAAAACAAAGCAAAAAAGCATGGAAGTGTTGAAGTGCGGGAAAATGAGGTCAGGCCCGCACAACCATTCTCACCAACCTCAGCTTCAGCCACCAACCCCCCCACCATCACCACCACCTTCTCTATTTTTAGCATTTTCAGCTTTTGTTTATTGCTATTATTTTTTGTTTGGACTAATTTCCTTTTATTGATTTCGAATTACAAAGTCATTTTCAACCTCTGGAGCACGCGTAAGAGCGGCGCGTCACCCCTCGTCAAACTAGTTTCTTTGAACAATGCAAATAGATTGGGCTAATGGGCTTCAACTGAATTCATCATATTTTCATTTGATAGAAAAATAGCTTTTTATAAAAATAAAATAAAAATATTTAAGCGCATGAAAAAGGAGAATAGCGTTTTTGGCATCAGTTGTCAAGTAAAAATTTCCTGATTCAAACTCAATTAAAAGAAGGTTAAATACACTTATATATCCAAAACTTTCACGGTTTTGCCAATAATATCCAAATTTCCCGAAATACCACTTATATCCAATTCTTTCACATTCTTTAATGGTGTTTTTGATATACAAGTGTATTTAACCAAAAATATTTTGGGAAATGAATAGATTTGGCAAAGAACAACTTTAAAACATGGATATAAGTGGTATTTCAAAAAATTTGGATATTATTAGCACAACTGTGAAAGTTTTGGATATACAAGTGTATTAAACTTTAAAAGAAAGTAATAAATAGTCAGAGTTTTTTTTAATCACGAAATTGTAAAAACAATTATTACTCAAAGTTTGTTTTTATGTTAGGGATTCTTTGAATAATTTATTTACTACACATTTTGAAAAAACGTAGAGATTTGCAAATGTATAATGTTACTATTTTGCCCCAACATTTAATACGGTTCATTATATTGTTTTCTATTTAATAAAATCAATCACGTAAACAAACAATTTTGCAACCAACAAAACATATTATTTATATTTGGGTACGAGACATGTATAATACTAACTTTTCTAGTTTTAAATGATAAATTTGTTAACTTTCTTTATGAAACTGTAATTTATCCAGAAGTCTCAAATTCCTACTAATTATAAAGAATTATGGAGAATGCCTTTCAAAAATGGTATTGTTTGTGAATTAAAAAGATGTGCCGCTAAGTAAATATGAGCAGTTAATGTTGTGAGGTACTTCAATTCATAGATTCTTCGTGGCCGAGGCCAACTCGGACAGCTACTCTTAATACACCTGTTATTTCTTGGAATAAAAAAAAATAAAAAATAAAAAACAAACATTTTAATTAAAAATAATTACAAAAGTCCCACGTAACAGTAAATAGCGTACATATCGCGACCTAGAAACGGTACACCAACCGCAAGCTCCTCATCACGCGCGCGTGACCCACTCGCAAACTAACCTCCAAGAGAAAAATGAAAAATAATAAACAAAAAAAAAAAAAATCTAAAATCTCACCAATCCTCAGATCTACCCGGAGACGCTACTTGCAGTGGCTGGCTGGCTCTCTGCCTACTCCCTATTGAATTTTTAGTTTTTACATTTTATCTTTTTGGCCTTCACATCGCCTCTATAAATAACCCGAAGCCATAGTCGCCATTCTTGTGCTCTGCTCTCTCATCCCTCTTCATATTTACACTCAGAAGGAAGGAGAACCCCGTTTCTTACTCGGTACCCTTTATTCTCCCCGGTTCCTTCTCCGCAAGGTACGCTTGCGCTCCGTCGTCCAATTATCCTTCCCGTCGTCGTCGCTCTGTTTATATGTAAATTTGTATTTAGTTATTTACCCCCCTTGGTTTTCTTCCTACTTTCCACTCGATTTCATACCCTGATCTGACTGTCCCTTCTCCCTTTCGCTTGACCGAATTCTCTGTTTCTTGATTAGTCTCATTGCAGTTCCTTTTTTTGTTTGTTTGTTAATCGCAGAGATCTGGTGAGTGTCGGTCGCCATTGATGTGATCATTTCATTTCATTACTGCTTTTCCCATTTCGATTTCTTTGTTATATGCTTGGCGGGTATCTCCGGTTTGATTTTGTGATTAGATCTGATGTGTGCGCACGTCTTGATCACTAGATCTGGTTTCTAAATCCGTGAATTCCGAATCTGAATGCGTGAAGTCTGTTATGCATGGGTGCGCATGCATCAGAGTATCGGGTTGCGGAATTCGGAGGGAATGGCTGTTCGTTTAAGTTAATCGTTGTTGGACGTTGGATCTGGGATCCTGTTATGGCTTTATTCTGATCTGTGGAAGTTTATATTGGTCCATTTGTTCGTTTCCTGCTGGCTCTGTATAGATCTCGGAATGTTGTAAATTAAGAAGTGTCCGTCTTTTGTTTTCTGGTGCTCCTGATTCTGCAATGGATTAATAACTCTAGTGAAATATTGAATCTTTTGGAGATTTACAGTAAACCCAATTCAAGTTTGGTCATTAATGGATTTGTTTAATGATTTCTTATAGATCTAGTTGTGATCTAGTAAAATTTGGCTGAATTCTTGATTTGATTATGATGTAATTTCAAACAGATAAAGAGAAATGGGAACCCAGTCCCACATTGCCGGATATCCTCGTATGGGCCCCAAGAGGGAGCTCAAGTTTGCCTTGGAGTCTTTCTGGGATGGCAAGAGCAGTGCTGAGGATTTGCAGAAGGTGTCTGCTGATCTCAGGTCATCCATCTGGAAGCAGATGTCTGATGCTGGCACCAAATACATCCCTAGCAACACTTTCACTTACTATGATCACGTGCTTGACACCACAGCCATGCTCGGCGCCGTTCCACCTAGGTACGGATGGAATGGTGGTGAGATCGGGTTCGATGTGTTCTTTTCCATGGCTAGAGGAAATGCATCTGTCCCTGCTATGGAAATGACCAAGTGGTTTGACACCAACTAGTAAGTGTCAGGAACTTTTTCATCACATTATTATATGTGGAGTTTGACTTTAAATTGTAATGATGTACTAACTAATTTGTAATTTTCTGTTTCAGCCATTTCATTGTCCCTGAATTGGGTCCTGAAGTTAACTTCTCGTATTCTTCTCACAAGGCTATCAATGAATACAAGGAGGCCAAGGCGGTATGTTGTTCTCTGTTCCAGTATTAATGCTTTTCTTTAGTTGAATTCCAGATTTGAATCAGAATTGTAAAACTTGTGATTATCGTTCACAAGGCGTTTAGTCTTGCCATCAGACAAGTGAGAATTCCCTAGGAGCAATGATTTGAAGTTTCTAAATAAATTTGGATCCCCGAAATTTGTTTATGAAGCTGGTATCTTAAATGCTTATGTTCAGAATTCTGTGATCTTGACTATCTTCTTTATTTGCAGCTTGGAGTCGATACTGTTCCCGTTCTTGTTGGTCCAGTCTCCTACTTGTTGCTATCCAAGCCTGCTAAGGGTGTTGAGAAGACGTTCTCTCTCCTCTCCCTGCTTGACAAAATCCTCCCAGTTTACAAGTAATATTCAACTCTTCCTTGGTTCCTGTTATTTCTGGATATGTTTAGCAGCAGTTTCTGACCTATGTGTCAACTGCCATCTCCAGGGAAGTTATTTCCGAGCTTAAGGCTGCCGGTGCATCCTGGATTCAGCTCGATGAGCCTACACTTGTGATGGATCTTGATTCTCACAAATTGAAGGCATTCACCGAGGCCTACTCCGAGTTGGAGTCGACCCTTTCTGGCTTGAATGTTCTCGTTGAGACTTACTTTGCTGATATTCCTGCTGAGGCATTCAAGACCCTCACCTCATTGAAGGGTGTCACTGCTTATGGTCTTGATTTGGTTCGCGGAACCAAGACCCTTGATTTGGTGAAGGCTGAGTTCCCCAAGGGCAAGTATCTGTTTGCTGGAGTGGTTGATGGAAGGAACATCTGGGCTAATGATCTTTCTTCTTCTCTTAGCACCTTGGAATCTCTTGAGAGCATTGTGGGCAAAGGTATGTAAGCCTGGGTCAATGTTGCATCCGGTCCTCTACTTTGTGTTGGAACTATATGTTAATGTAATTGCCATCTTTTGGAGCAGACAAGCTGGTTGTGTCTACTTCATGCTCCCTCCTCCACACCGCTGTTGATCTTGTCAACGAGACCAAGTTGGATGATGAAATTAAGTCATGGCTTGCCTTCGCTGCTCAGAAGGTTGTGGAAGTGAATGCTTTGGCCAAGGCCTTGGCTGGCAAGAAGGATGAGGTACATTTCATATATTGTCAGCTATGATGTACACTTTATTGCAATTGTCATCTAACTCTTTTCTCATTTTGATTACAGCAATTCTTCTCAGCTAATGCTGCTGCCCAAGCCTCAAGGAAGTCATCACCAAGGGTGAACAACGAGGCTGTTCAGAAGGCTGTAAGTTTTTCTTTTTTTCCTTTCTAAAATTTCCTTTTCATGCCCCCTCATTCAGTTCGCTGCTGAACTTATTTATTTAAATCTTTTCCTCAGGCTGCCGGTTTGAAGGGTTCTGAGCACCGCCGTGCTACAAATGTTAGTGCTAGGTTGGATGCTCAGCAGAAGAAGCTTAACCTGCCAATCCTTCCAACCACCACCATTGGCTCCTTCCCGCAAACCGTTGAACTCAGGAGGGTTCGCCGCGAGTACAAAGCCAAGAAGTGAGTGGGTTCATTCCCTTGTTTCTCTTTATTTCTGAAAGCATTTTCATTTTTTTTTAACATATAACATTCTTTTTGCTTCTTTCTATAGGATCTCAGAAGAGGAATACATCAAAGCCATCAAGGAGGAAATCAAAAAGGTTGTCGAACTACAAGAGGAGCTCGACATTGATGTTTTGGTTCATGGAGAGCCTGAGGTGAGTTTATTGTAATTCCTCTGCTTTGCCTGAATTTCTATCTGTGATGCAAGTTTCTGACTCTGTTAACTCGTTATTTCTGTAGAGGAACGATATGGTTGAGTACTTTGGGGAGCAGCTGTCAGGTTTTGCCTTCACTGTCAATGGGTGGGTGCAATCATACGGATCTCGCTGTGTGAAGCCACCAATCATCTATGGTGATGTCAGCCGCCCCAAGCCAATGACCGTCTACTGGTCCTCTGCTGCTCAGAGCATGACTTCTCGCCCAATGAAGGGAATGCTTACTGGCCCTGTCACCATCCTCAACTGGTCCTTCGTCCGAAATGACCAGCCAAGGTAATGGGGGAAACCAACAAAGTCTTTACAATGGGTGCATTTTCCCTCTGCCTGGATGGTTTGAATGTTCGTTCTGATCTCTCTTCAATTTTGCAGATTTGAGACCTGTTACCAGATTGCTTTGGCCATCAAGGATGAGGTAGAGGACCTTGAGAAGGCCGGTATCAATGTCATCCAAATTGATGAGGCTGCCTTGAGAGAGGGGCTTCCTCTTAGGAAGTCTGAGCAGGCTTTCTACTTGGAATGGGCTGTTCACTCCTTCAGGATCACCAACATTGGCGTCCAAGACACCACTCAGGTGTGTTAATTATAAAGCAACTGTTCTGTTATTTGCTAGCTGGTCCACTGCCTTTCACTGATCTTGACTCTCAAAATAAACTTCTGTTAATGTGTTTCAGATCCATACCCACATGTGCTACTCCAACTTCAACGACATTATCCACTCCATCATCGACATGGATGCTGATGTCATCACCATTGAGAACTCTCGCTCCGACGAGAAGCTCCTGTCTGTGTTCCGCGAGGGAGTGAAGTACGGTGCTGGAATCGGCCCTGGTGTCTATGACATCCACTCTCCAAGGATACCATCCACTGAGGAGATCGCCGACAGGATCAACAAGATGCTTGCTGTGCTCGAGAAGAACATCCTGTGGGTCAACCCGGATTGTGGTCTGAAGACCCGCAAGTACCCTGAAGTGAAGCCGGCTCTCCAGGCCATGGTTGCAGCAGCCAAAGCCCTCCGCACCCAGCTTGCCAGCGCCAAGTGAAGAAGCGATTTGGTGGTTTAGGAAACTGCTGATGAATGGTGAAAAAGGACTTTTACATATTTTGCTTTACCGAGGAAAACACAGAAGGGAATATTATTGTTCGACTCAATAACTGTGGTTGTCCAGTATAGTAGGGGAGACCAGATGCTTTACTAGAGTGGGCATTGATTTTGGCTTTCCTTTATTATTGCTTTTGGGATTTTTGTTATAATTCTTCTTGTTTTGGTTCCGTCAAGTTTGTTGTACCCTCAAATTTCTTTTTCAAGAGATGTCGATTGCTTAGTAGTTGTTGAAATTGAGATCACTGGTTCCCTCCCTACCCAACTTATCCCTTTCCTACTTCTTCCAATGACGAGAAATTTAGTTACCCCTGCTATTTTTTTCCTGTGTAATATGGCTGACTATTGCCATTGGCTTACAAATCAATGATGAATAGTTAGAATACAGGGAGACAATCGAGTCTGAGTTTTGATCAATATGCTCAAATCAAGAGAAAATTGAGTTGAGTTCGAGATTGACTCATTTTTTAAAAAAATTTCGACTCCAGCTCGATTCAAGTTTGGCTAATCAATGAGCTCACATAGTTGGTTTGAATTCACCTCATTTATGAGTTTAAATAGGTTAAACCGTAATGAAACTCTAAAATAATTTATAAACTATATATCCTAATATTTGTATACCATATATGATGTATGTGATTAATGTCACGATTTCCATGACTAATTGGTCCCACACAAATGTACTGCGTTGATATCATATTTAGTTCATAATTTTAATTAATTTATATCATGTTAGTTACTAGTAATTAGTACCTAACCAGTCCATAATAATTAATTTTCATTTCAAATTATAAATAGGGCTAATCGATGTTGGTCGCGGACAGCCTCTCCCCTGAATCGACAAAGATTCTTGGATATGGAATCGCAAACACAAATCTCTACCGAATTGATTGGGTGACTCAGAATTCCTAGAAGGAGATCATCGTTTTCCAGTGTGCCGATCAGACTTCCTTTCAGTTTGATTCCACGACAAAGTCGTTTTGTCTTGGGGGCCGCCGGGAAAAGATGAAGAGGGAGGATTCTTCAATTTATGGTCCTGCTGCTAGCCAGATATCGAGCTTCCTCGACTGCCGACTCGACTGGAGACTGACGTGCTGCAATCCTAGGATTATGGGTTTTGGGTTCTTGGTCTGGCGTGGGGAGGCTTAGAGGGCGGTTGCATTAATCGGTTTTGGACCTCTACCTTTCTTTCAAGATGGAGAGGAAGAAAGACGTCAAGGCAGATATAATTAGTATCCAGATAACACATAAGAATATTCAGACAACATATAAGAGTATCCATATTGAATACTAGTTGGTTGATTGTGAATATTAGTTGGTATATGCTATCTGGATACTAGTTTGTGATGTTTTGAATACTAGTCTGTGCTATCTAGATACTCCGCAGACTTGGATATTAGTTCATACATTTTGGATATTAGTTAGTATATACTAACAAATCTTCAAATTAGCAGAATAACTAGGCTGCTTGGGAATTGGGGAAGGGGTGTTGAGTGATATGATTTTTGTAATTTATTTTATATTATTATTATTATTTTAATTTTAGATGGAAAATGTATAAAAATTAATATTCAAAGTTTCACGTCAGATACCTTGTCAGCGCTGACTAGACTTTCTGTTATAAACTAATGGTTAAAGAAGGTCTACACTAACGGAACAATAGTCCAGGACGCAAATGTCATATTGAATAGTTCGGGAAACAAATTACACAATCTTGATTCTTGATAGTTCGAGTTTCCTAGTAGTATTAGTCCTTATTAATATAACATTTTTGGTGACATACTTAAAGTCTTAAACCTTCATATGTTATGAACTATATAGTCTAACAAACCTACAAACTATCAACAAACAAACGCATAAGATATATATCGATTTGCTAATAAGTATCTACTTAAACTCGCTCTCCGGCCACATTATCAAGTCAGCATCTCCTGAGCTCAAAACGAGTCAACTCAATAATTGAACCCAACAAATCATCAAATTAGACGGAGTCACGAGTCTCACAAAAGCCGGATTCCGAACAAAATTTTTGCCCACCATCGAACCTCTCGTAAACTGGTTCACTCATTTGCATCCCTAAACCAAAATTGTTGGATTGCAAGTAGGATTGCAATTTGCAAGACCCTTGTAATTTTCCGTGACATTCTTGTTTTCTTCATGTAGATTTTATGATTGAGAGATTGACCTGCTCATAAATACTACCTACTGGTCTAGTGATGACTGATGTGTGAAAGTGAAGTTTCAAAGTCCCGCCCTCGTCAGTAGAGGTGGCAATTTCAATCCAATCCACCAATCCAATCCATCAATCCATTAAAAATATCCATCTAATCCAATCCATTTAAATCCAATCCATTTTATCCAAATCCAATTGGATTGGTGGATTCATGGATTGGATCCATGGATTATTGGCAAATTACGGTTTAGTACCTATAATTTTTATTTTTTACATTTTGGTACCTAAAATTTAATTTTTTATACGAAAAATATCATTGGAAAATTACGTTTTGGTACCTAAAATTTTTCATTATAACATTTTAGTACTTAAACTTTTTACATTTTACATATTTGTCCTTGATTGAGGATGTCATTTGGATTCATGGATAATCCACCAATCCACTTGATCCAATCCATTTTATCCAATCCATTTGATCCATGAATCCACCAATCCACCAATCCAATCCATTTGCCACCTCTACCCGTCAGCCAATCGTCACCAAAATCGCCTGCTGGAAAATCTCTCTCGTCACTTCTCCGCCCCTCTACTTCCAACTTCCTGTGGCTCCCTCCGCTTTCAATCTTCATCCACCGGCCGGAAAATTAGGTGGAAAAAAAATGTACAAGTCCTTCCTTCAGACCTTCTGCCAACGGAAAAAATGGCCTCTCCCGGTCTATTCCGCCACCAAAGGCGGCCCCGACCACCTCCCCCACTTCCTGGCCACCGTCACCGTCAACGGAACCTCTTTCGCATCGGAAGTCGCCGCCAAGTCCGCCAAGGAGGCACACAATGAGGCCGCCAGAGTCGCATTCGTACAACTCGGCTCCACCGACGGTAACCCCAAAAACTAACTCTAATGGAGTTTTTTTTTTTAGTTCAATTTTATACTCGCCTTTCCATCGTCTGAGTTACTTTTACCATGTTTTGGTAAATCTTGATCTCTATCGCCTTTGTGATGAGTGGATTATGTTGTTATATATGCAGGTGTCTTGAATTCAAGCCATGGAGCTGTTTCTGATGAGGGATTGCAGACTATCAATGGAAACCCACAAGCAAGCGGAAGTGCCGATATCCCCAAAGGTAGCTTCTTCTTCTTCTTCTATCGATAATTTATGGTTGATAATCAAAACTCATGTGAGCGTTTCCTGGGGCTACTCTGTGATGCAATCCTTAGGCATTATAGGCAATTTGCCATGGATATTTTTGACTGGTTGTAGACTCTTATAGCGTTGTTGTGATTTGTGAATATTTTCCTTTTATCTTAGAACGCAGTATCCTTACGATGAACCATATATCTTGCTTGCTTTATATGGCGACTTCTTGTTTTTTGATTTGCAAGAAAGCAAAATTTCGCCTCTCCAAGTTAGAGTCTTGACATAAATGTACGGTTTTGTTGCTTGTTTCTTCTGTAGATATGCAACATTTGTGTAAAAATCAGTTGCAGATCTATGCCCAGAAGAGAGGTCTTCCATTGCCATTGTATTCTCATGAACGGGATGGTCCTCCTCATGCTGTTAGATTTAAGTCTACCGTTACAATTGAGGGAAAAACCTACACGAGCGACGGATTCTTCCTTACATTGAAAGATGCTGAAAATTCAGCAGCAAAGGCTGCATTAGCATCATTGTTGCCTAGCGGTAGTGGAGAGGTCAGTTTTTAAACAACTTAACAGGGCATTTTTTTTTAATGTTTATCATGAAAATGGTGGAAAACTCCATGATACTTACTTCTTCGTGTATTCTTTTGACAAAATGTTATTGTATATTGTTGGTGCTCGTTCCAGGAGGAAATGGGTTACAAGAACCTGCTGCAGGAATTTGCTCAGAAAAAGTGTTTTCTTCTCCCCATTTACGTCACAACAAGAGCTGGTGAAGTTCACGCACCTACTTTCATTTCGACAGTGGAGGTAAATCAGCAGGTTTTTACTGGACAAGAAGCAAGAACCAAGAAGCTGGCAGAGATGAGTGCAGCAAGGACGGCTTATACTCACCTTAAAGAGGGTAAGCTTCAACATTTATCTGTGGTATTTATACTTATGCATATACATGTTCTTGTTTGGTTTTTTCTATGATTGAAACTTGGGACATATTTATTTCATTGGTGTCAAGATGTTTTTGTTACACTGAATCGGTCAGTTTACATTTTGTTGCTTCATAACAAGAACTTATACTCCTGTTTGCTTTCAGACAAACAGCCATTTCTTTGTTTATTTCTAAAAACAATAATTTCTTTGTTAAACCAGCTCTCTCTCTCTCTCTCTCTCCAGTCTTTCTTTATTCTGGTTATGGAACCAAATTGCTTATATTGTTGCAATGATTTTTGGCTTTCTTTTCCATGTTTGTGTATCTCATTGTATGAGTTGTTTGATCAGGCAATTCGAATCAAAGTGCCGCAGGCCCTGTTGCTGCTGGCCAAGAGCAAGAACTTTGCTTGCCAACTCCCAAAGTCGACTTCGGTTTACTGGCTCATCTAAATAAGAATTTTCAGCCTAAACTTCACCTTGTTGCTGCTAGCAAAGAACAAAAGCTTGTTTCGTCATCTCAGGTTGAGTTGGGTCACCTCGTTCATCCTAATTGGAATATCGGGCCTGAACTTCTTGTTCCAAGCGAAAATGTGGGCCATACAGGTAAGAGCTTTTGCTCAAAGCTATATTAGACGTTGATTTGAATCATCAGGTTTTGTGATGCAAGCTCCTTGTTTATGGAGACAGACACTCTTTTATTAGTTTTTGTTAGGCATGAACCAAACTTACCAAAGTATCGATGCATCGCGATATAAGATGTTTTCTAGGGCACAAGAAGTTCATTCTGAATCTCTTGAACTGTAACTTCATTGCACCATGTCATCAGAATCTAAATACGCCTGCAATTCATTTCTTGACGCGAGATGGGACATTATATTGGTGGATGTGTGTTTCTAGTGACTCTGAAGTGTACACTCATTCTCTTACTATGCAAGCAGGTGTTGCTGAACCTTCCACCATCGATCCTGGTTCTTTTAGCAACAAAACAATCAGTAAAATTCCATCTCCATCACCGGGCAGCCCATCCTTATCCAATCTCCAGGAGGAAACTGCAGATAGTGGTACTGTAATGGCAGGTAAGTGGTGGAACTTTGTTTGGTGCGAGTTATTCTTCTCCAAGGAAATATGCATGTTTTAATTCTGCACATGAACTATTTTTAACAAATATTTAGAAACAATTCTTCCAATCTCTGAGCAGGTACTAATCCCTTGGTTATACACCCCAGTCCGGACAGCACCGAAGTGGTTAAAAATCTTCCTGCTTCACATCCAGCTGCCTCTCCATCTTTCATTCCTTCAGTTACCGATGCTGGTAGTGTTGTGGATTCTGACTCAAGCATCCAACATCAGAAGTGTCTAACCCCTGGACTCCCTGCATCAATATCTCACATGCCATCAGCTACGCTTGCAGATGACAGATCATATTCAGGTATCAGTGGTCTTATCAAGTCTAGCATCGGACTCCCAAACAGGATTGTCGTTCATCCACGCAACATTAGTCTCACTTACCCTCCAGGCAGCACCGTGTTACCGGTCAGTGATAGCAATTGGGTTGCTGTGAGCAGCTCTTCTCAATCCACCTTGTGAGAACGCATGGATCCTTGTGACGAATGGCTTGGTTTGGCTTAGTGTTCTGAGGCTATCTTGTGTAGAACTTGTAAGCTTGTAGTAATTTGTCACCCTTAATGTGGTCAACCGTAAATGTTGTTCTTTTATAAACCAGTATAACAGCAGGTGGTATACTTGCCCAATGTTCATGCTAATATTTTAGGAATGTGGTGGAGAATAGGATTGAGATTTGTAATGCTGTTGTAATAGAAGTGATGACTGCAATTCGCCATTTGCACATCATTGATTCGGGAATAAAACTATAGAACTTGGAAAGGAAACTGAAAATGTTTAGGATCGTTTTAATGTTAAAAATAACCAAATAGATCTTTCTGTTTAGTTTTTTACTAACAAATACCAAACGATTCCCTATAATATACACTATAATTTAATCATTATGATATCAAATAATTACATAATATATATTTGAAATGATAAAAATTGAACTAATTGGGTTGGTTGAGGTTGAACCATTGAATAACTTTAAAATATATTATATTTTAGCCACTAAGATATAAAATAATAGCATAATATATATTATGATAGAGAAAATAGCTTATTTTAGAATGACAAACCCATGATGTTCATTTGTTTTACTTGATGGGCAAATTCCGTGTAGGTCAGGCCCATTCAACTCTTTTATTTTATGATTAGCGGTTAGCCCATTAGAATCCATGCATTAGTTTATTGTTATTATTTTTTCCTTTTCATATATATTTTACCACCACGGAGAAATAAAAGGACTTAAAGGAAAAAAATTGACACTCCTGGACCCGTTTAAATCCGCATGTGTACGGTAAGTTGGTCCGTTTCACAGAGGAAAAAGAAAAAAATTGACACTCCCTATTCTACCCTTCCTACAAACGCTCCTAGAGCAGGGAATTTGAAATGGGGGAAGGGTTTTTTCCTCTCTGCGATCGATTATATGTTTCTAATTTAAAAAGATACAACAAATGTACTTAGTGTGATTGGTTATGATTTTTGCTTTTCTTTAAAGTGGTCATGGTTTGAATCCTAGTAAGTGTCTTTTTAATGAATAAAAAAAAGTAATTGTGAAGACCAAAATGTCATTCCTACTTTCACTCTGGATGCAGGAAATTTGAAATAGGGCTTCAAGTTTTCTCATTTGGCTTTTATTTATTGTGTAGATTAGTTGAATTACTTAAAACACACGTGTATTAAACATGTTATACGTGTTTAATGTGTGAAAGATCAACTAAATAGAAAATAAAGAAACAAAAATATAATAGTATGTAAACGAGAGTTATCAATTTTAAAAAAATGTTTATGAAATTCAAATCAACTTTCAATGTCCAACCATATGCGAAAACCAGATTGCAAGAATAATTTTTATCTTTAAAACAAGATTGAAGATAACTCTACGAAATAGAAATGGTACTCAATTCAGTAAATTCTTACGAAGGCTATTAATTCAATGTTAATCTTGACTATTTCATTCCTCTCCATCCCTGAACATCAAAGTATGCAAACATTTACTACTTTATTATCTTAGTACTTAAGATGTTAATGATCATCTATTCGTGTTTGCCTGATTGGCCAACTTTGCAGATGAAAAGTTATTCACTTACATTGGAGCTACCATGGCTTCCGGGAAGTGATTAAATTTCACTCAGGTAAAATTCTTACTACATTGAAAAAATTATTATTTTATGTTGAAATTTAAAAATGCCAATTATATTATTTTGATTATTTTCATGATAAAAACTGAGATCAAGCTCCAGTAGTAGGTTGAGAAAAGACTATCCAATATCCCTACTACTACTGCATTACAAATTAATTGAAGCTAAAGTATTCAAAATAGATAAATATCATTTTCAATCTAATGATCGATTAAAATACAGATGCTAGATTGTTTAAATATTTAGACTAATTAGTATTTTTGTCCAAGAGAGAAAGAACATATTACTGAAATTTAAACTTGGAAACCTTTTAATCACCCTTTTCATATTATAATTGGCGAATGGGTCGGAGTGCAATCTAGCTTTACGCTTATTATAAAGAGGTATTTTGCCATCAAATATTTGTAAACCTTATGCATTCATGGTGGCTCAATTATTATAGCGATAACATAGCAGGAGAATCAAGATTCAAGACGCGTACAATTTGATGAAAATATCCTTTCATATGCGATATTCACAAGGAAAATATTAGGCCCAAAAAAATGAGTAATTGTTCCCCAATTGCCACAATGTTAAATCATTGTTTCACTATTACATTCCCATAAATTGGCCCCCCAAATTAATTGCAGCAGCATCATAGCCCCACCACCACCTTTTAACCACTAAGTAACTTCCAGTAGCTACAAACTTGCTTGGTTGCTAAATCGGCAAAATGGGTTTCCGATTCCTGCTTCCTGGTCAGTCCTTGATGATGTTCGTTCTACTGATTGCAGTCGTCCCATCAACAACTGTTGCCAAATATTTCATTGTCGGTGACGAGGTTGGATGGACTACCAACTTCGATTACCAGTCCTGGACCGTCGGCAAGGACTTCCATGTTGGGGATAAGCTTGGTAAGTACATAAAAAAAGCTATAATGTGCATCATGGCACAGATAGACGGCATTGTATTCTACCATCAGCTTTCAGTCTTTCAAGATTATTAAGTTAGGACGGTTTCGAGTCTTACAATTCGCTGTTGTCTCAACTCTATCTACTCGATTTAGGAAAAAGATACGTACCCTAAGTCGGTGAAGTACTATAAAATGGTGATCCTCGAGGTCGTATTCCACGGGGCCCAGTAACCTAATTAACTTATGATCATCTTGTGAATTCATAACAGTGTTCCGGTACCCCAAGGGCTTCCACAACGTGTTCAAGGTGAACGGGACGGAGTTCCAGAACTGCCTCGTCCCGTCCAACAGCAGCCTGAGGCTGGATTCTGGAAGCGACATCGTCACGCTGTTGACTCCAGGGAGAAAATGGTACATCTGCGGCGTTGCCAAGCACTGCAAGCAGCAAACCCAGAAGCTCGTCATCCAAGTGCAGCCGCCCATTGTCATAGTACCGGCTCCAGCTCCAGCTCCAGCTCCAAGCCCATCGTCATCTGCTCCGATCCAGACCGTGGCGCCTTCTCCAGCCCACGGATGGCAACGCGCGTCTGGTCCGTCGTCGATCAGCCCATGAAGACTCCATTTTTTCAACTTCCAACTTTTGATAATCATCATGAAACCGTTTCTCTCTTTTTCACTATGCAGTCGTCGTACGTCAGAACAAATGCATGTGGGTCTATTGGTAGACACTACGTTGTAACACTTCTATTTGTGCCGCAAGTACCAAGGCTTAGATTTACGGTTTTGTACTCTTCAAGCTAAGTTTCTTGTTTTTGTCATCAATAAGAGAACATTTTATATATATATATATATATGGACGGTATGAAAAGCAAGGTCTTGAAGGGTTTGAGTTGCAAAAGGTTGGTAGGAAAATTCCTTTTCTTTTCTTATTTATACAAGTGCAGTAAGTCATAATAAGCACAGAAATGTATCATGTTTAGTGCTGTTATTGAGCCGAGCCGAGCTTTGCCATAGTTCAGGCTGGGCTCGTTAATAAATTTTCAAGCTCGAGCTTGGTTCGTGTTCGTCACGAGTTTTAATATGCAAGTTCGAGCTCGGCTTGTTTATGAAAATGAAAGCTCGAGCTCGGTTCGAGCTCGGCTCGTCAAATAAGATTAACGAGCCCAAAATCGAGTTTAGCTTATAAAATATTCACAATAGTTCAAGATTGACCTAAAACTGGGCACAAAATTACATTTAAATCTATAGGAAAGTCTAGCAAAATAAAACACAATATTTTCCCCAATTTCAATATATAAAATCCATGAATTCTAATCCTTTCTTATGCCAAAACGTTAAATGAACTTGTTCGCGAGCTTTCGAGCTGAATATGGTATGGCTCGAGTTCTGCTCGTTTAGTTAACGAGCTTGTTCGCGAGCCGAACGAGTTTTTCTTGAGTCGAACGCCTAGCCGTTCATGAGTGACTTGGTTCATTAAGAGCCTAATCATGTTTAACAAAATATGTAACTTTGTTGAATATCCTGATGTTGAGCCTGATGCAATGTATCTATCTCTCTTTACTTTCTCATATGGAGAAAAGTAAAGAAATGGCTGAATAAACGCGACCTTCTGCCACATTTCTTACATCGATCGGATGGTCTGGTGCAAGTTTTCATTGAACAATTCTTCCGTCCATGGAAAACTAACAACTTAAGATACTAAATCTCTTGTTTCAGGTGGTGTAGTTCTGAAACTTTATATAAGGCTTGACATCGGTACCAATGGCTTCTTCGAGCAAGCCCTCACTACGGATATGGGCAAGAAAAGCTCGTTATTATCTTCGGTAAAGTTCTAAACATAAACATCACAGTGTTGGTAAATCAGTCAGCCAAAGGTGACATGACACGACACGACTAACTGTTAAACAACCTCTAGAACATTTTGTATCCATGAAGCAAAATCTCAAAATTAGACTATGAGAACTACTTCTATGGCTGTTAGATCTGTTCAGAAAGAATAAGATCTATTACCCTCTATCAGTTTAGGGATATGACAGGCTGAGATTTTGACAAGTTTGAACTCCTTTTTATTGATGATCTCTTACCCTCTATCAGTTTAGAGATATGATAGGCTGAGATTTTGACCAGTTCGAACTCCTTTTTATTGACTTGTGTTGTGTATGTTAAAATTTTTGACCAGTTCGAACTCCTTTTTATTGACTTGGGTCGAGTATGTTTAAAATATGAGTGGTTGGGAACTTGAAACCACAACCTCTTATAACAAGGAATGAGTTGTGTACCAACTAATCTATAAGTTTGGTATCAGAGACGAAGCCAACATTTGAAAATAGGGGGGGGGGGGCAAAAATAAAAGATGTTAAACAAAATTACTAATTGTATTTCAATAGTACACGACGCTCTTTAAGATCATTGAAATCACTCAAAATAGCGTCTAAATTAAAAGTTTCTGCAATCTCTCGTTCAATAAAAATAACTAAGTTATCAGCTAGAAAATCATCATTCATCTTGTTCCGCAGCCTGTTCTTCACTATCTTCATAGCTGAAAATGCACGTTCAAAGTGGCGGTTGAAACCGGAAGAATCAAAATAAGACGAATCAATCTATCAACAAGGTTAAATTCCTTTGACTTTCCCGTCTTTGCGAAACCATGACACAATTCAGCAACTAATGATAGATTTCGGAGTTCAGGATGAGTAGGAGCATAGGCTTGAAAGTGCTTCAATTCGTACTTCAAGTCATCCAAGTCTTTTTCTGAAAAATCAAGAGGGTAGTACTTCTCAACAAGATCACAAATAGCACCAATGTTGAAAGCTTTATAACCATCCTGAGGATCAAAACTTGAGCTAAGCTTCAGAAGTTCAAGTACTTTGTCATCGAACCTTGCTCGTATTTCCTCTATCTCCACATCAATGGCGGCATTGAACACATCAAAATGATAAAAGTGTTCATTTGTGATGCCATCCCGTCGTCGACGACTTTCATAATGTGGAGCAGTAAGATCAGGAACATTGATCTCATGTTGTTGGCAAAACTTTGTGACTTTTGCTAACAAAGAATCCCAATCTTCATTCCTCATTTGGTTCAACAACTTTGTAGTAGTCTCAACTGACCTCATTGCATTTACAATGTCTTGAGATTTACGTTGCAAAGCTTTGCAAAGCAAATCAGTGGTGCTTAGTATCTCCTTCGTCATATGCAAAATGAAGATGAACTCAAATGATTCCATAATTCTCAAAGCTGTACTAGCATCCCCCTTGTTTTGTAGTGAGCACAATCATTGCTTATTTTCTCCAAAACCCGAAAACTTGGACCATACAAATGGATAAGGCTAGCAACAGAACTCAAATGTGAACTCCATCGAGTATCACAAGCTCGTTGTACATTCTGAATATGATTGGTACCTTTTCCTGTCTCAATTTCACCTGATGCTAGCTTTTTTGCATAATAATCTTCTTGAAACTCTTCTAACTCATCAAGGCGCTTTGTGGAACCAGTAATAGCAGTCACAACCTTTGGTAACTTTGTGAAAAACTCATTTACCCTATCCACTTCTCTTGATGTTGCAACCAATGATAGTTGAAGACAATGAGCCATACAATGCACGTAGTATGCATGAGGAAAATCCTTCAAAAAGAGTGCATGCAATCCCTTCCATTCACCACACATGTTACTAGCAGCGTCATATCCTTGTCCACGAAGATTCTGATGGGAAAACTTATGAGAAGTAAGAGTTAAGCAAATAGTAGAGTGCAAAGTCTTTGATGTTGTGTCTTTGACATGCACAAGATTAAGGAAGCGCTCTTGAATCAATCCTTCAATATCAACAAAGCGAAGAAAAATGGCCATTTGTTCATGTCTGCCTTCATCACTTGCCTCATCCACAATAATCGAAAATTTAGAATCTCCAATGTCATCAAAGATATGCTTTCTGATCTTCTTGGCTAAAATATGCAAGATTTGCTTCCGAACCTCATGTGATGTGTACTTTGCATTCTTTGGAGAATTCTCCAACCCAACACTATCTACTTCTTCATCATAGAAACGTGTGTATTTGAGAAGCTGAATAAAGTTCCCAGGATTCTTGAATCAACAGTCTCATCTCGACCTCTGAAGGCAACTCCTTGCAATGCTAGATAACGAACAACATCTATTGAGGTCTTCACTCGAGTTATATTCTTCTTTACTTCGTCTGAAGTTTGTTTTTCATGGCTTTGTCGATGTGCCCAGGATGATGCATTAAAGCATGACAGTTCCTCACATCATTGTTGTGATGAGAATTTGGACTGTCCCCAATATGCTTCCTGAAAGAACAATCAGCCCCACTTTTAACCTTTTCCCAATTCTGAAAGCCCTCATTTGCAAATATATCTCTCCCAAATTGAGCATTTGGCTTTTTTGTGAAAAGATAGCATGGAAGACAATATGCAACATCCTTCACTTCTGAATATTCAAGCCAAGACAATATGCAGCATCCTGGATTTGTTTGGGCTATAGCGATGGTCGCTGAGGTCGGAACAACAGCCAACGCCCAGAAGAATCCAATTTTTGGCGCGGGTACTTGGGAAAAGTTGGCGCCACAGCGAAAGACAGAAGGAGTTTTTAGGTTGGATTGAGGGATTGTTGTGTTTAGAGTGGGAATGTGGGATTGATTCTTTTGTTCTGCAGAACTACAGTGGCCACCAAAATCGCACCAGCAGCAGAATCGTCTCCCGCAGAGGAAAGGTAAAAGACAAAGAAAGGAGAGGGGTTTAATTTTTGGGAATGGAAGGATTAGGATTAGGGATTTTTTTTTTTTTTGCTTGGGTGGGATTGGTGTAACACCCTTGCTCGGCCGAGCACTAATTTTTCCAAAATACCCTTAAGTAATAAAGATAACTCAAAATGGAAAGAATACAGAAAAATAATTTTAAATCACCGTAGGAAATCCCTCTTAACAAATCATAAATGAGCATCCGTCTCAAGCCTACTAATAAAAGTACAAAAGTGAAACAGTTCACTTGGAATCTTTTGCAATCACTAACCCTTGTGACGATGACATCCCATGCAACAGCTTTCTCTTGACTAGTGGTCTGAATGCTTTTGCTTTCTTGTACCTCATGAGTGCGAGCGATGGGGTCAGTCCTAATCCTAATTTCGTTATTATACTTAAATTGAAAGCCATGCACATGCAATGCTTATGGTACGTTATTGGGTACATTAGTAAAAGTGTATTATTGTTTACATATTCTTGCGTATAATACTTTCTACTTTCTTAACTTGAAATGGTATCCCGCCCTCGACCTAACTAGCACATCCGTCCGGCACCAACGTATCATGAACATAACCACCTCATCTACAAGGAGTAACATAGCATACCTCCCCATCTACAGGGAGTAGTGGTGACCGCGTCCGGCACCGATCGTGACATACATATCATGACCCCTCATCTACAAGGTGTTCCTCATCTACAAGGAGTAAGGTGACCGTGTGTGACTAGTTAAGAGAGGGTCTTATTCTTACTTGTTAACTTGATATCTTGTACGTGCTTGCTTGAACAACCTCTCACACGATGGAGAGACATAGTTAATCTTGTACTTTCTTACTTGACTTGAGAAGTTGAGCTTACATAGATGATCTCCCGCACAATGGGAAGATACAAGCTTATTAACTTGCACGTAATTAACTTATAATTGAACGTGTATTTTACTTATACTTCATGATGCTATGCATACTTAAAGTAAAGACTAAACGTAAATAAATTAACTTAATAAGAAAGCATATAAGGAATGACCAAATATAAACAAGAACAGAAACATAAAGCAAGAACTGAAATACATGATAACGAAAACTACTCTAGTCCCCTCTAACCACGCACCTTAATTTACGGTGGAACTTCCTGATCGATGTGAACCTCCTACTTGAAGTAACCGCGAAAGCTCGCCGTTGATGAGATTCCAAGAGCTACGCGTGAGTGCCCCAAAATATTAGTCAATTAAACCTCCCACTTACAGCCTACAACTCGACCAACTCCTTAACCCAGCTAGTTATGATTTCCCTTTTAAAGTCTCTCCTGATGCCAAGCTTCCATATTACGTGTAAAGAATACTTGCATGAACTCCCAGTTTACTGACATGTGTTAGTAGTTACCCCATGGCTAATTGCACATGATTATTCATGACCCACGTCAATTGCCCATCACATTAATAGATATATACCATTCATAGACATGCACCAACGTAATTGAAGCCTTCCATCAATTGCTTAGTCAGCGTGATTAATTATAACCGTCAACGCCATTATCGGATTGGAAGAGTTAGGGAGTTCGTCCTTACCTATAGGCAGCGGCGGATCCAGAACACAGAAGAGCACTGGGCCGCATTTTATTAGAAAATTAGAATCGTAAAAAAATATAATGATTATAGTTTTTTGCAATGTAAATTGTACACGACTGTATTTTAATTTAGGGAATGCATCAATAATGGAGCCTACATCCATACCAATAGTATACACTATTTCAAATAAAATACTTGAGCAATCGACGAGAAATTCATCGCTCATTTTTTTGAGCAAATCAGTTATCACATGTTTCATTGTTGAAAATGTTCTCTTCGTAGTAGCTGTTGAAACGAGCAATCGACGAGAAATTCATCGCTCATTTTTTTGAGCAAATCAGTTATCACATTTTTTTAGACGCATAATCTTTGGGGCTAAAATTTCTAGGCTAAATTTAGAGTAGTGATTTGAATATGTCCAACTTGATAATTTTTCTAGTTAAACCCAATTTTAACATAGAATAACACTGACTCGAATGTCTAAAATCAAAAATTTCATAAGGACTATAGTAACTACGGATCCAGAGGAGGGCTGGGCCGGGGCCTGGGGTGGCCACCCCCTGGATCCGCCAGTGCCTATAGGACGTACGTGAGAGGTCGATCTGAAGCTACGGGGTCCGGCGAACAGAGGCCATGATGAACGGAGGAACTGGTGCGGCGTCGGCGTCGGCGTCGCTCCCGTATCTGCCGGTTGTTGTTTCCGGAAGTGGTTTGTGATTTCGAAGAGCTGAGGGATATCTTTTGGTCGAGGGGAAAGGAGTTGAACAAGTGGAGGAGGTGCCGACGATGGGTTTGGTCGTGCGAGGAGGGAAGAAGCGATTCCTAGCGGCGACGCTACTAGCGTGGGTTTTATTAGTTTTTAGATTTCTCTAGGTATAGTGTATATATATATTCACGTAAAGAGAGGGAGAAATCCCCACCTGTTGCCGCTGCGTTGATTAGTTTAGGGTTAGATAGAGTTAATTAATTAATTAATCATAGTAACTAAATGAGGGTAAATTTGGAAATTCATGAAAGTTCTAGCTATCGGGTGTGACAATTGGGAAAAATGATGGGGGATGTGGTTCGAATCAGAAAACTAAACACCTTTCGAATTTGGAAGTTTACAAAGTTACAAAACTCGACTTGGCCACGACAATTTCTTTGACAAGTTGCTACACCAATGGTATATATTCGCTAAATTTTCAAAACTTTAGGGGGGCCATGACCCCCTTCCTTAACGTTGGCTCCATCCCTATTTGGTATTGAGCATCTTATGAATCTTATAAAAATACAAAGTAATTAACTTTATATTAATCTTTAAAACAAATTGACAATTTTAAATATTTAATAACAATACTCATTTTTCTTGCACTTTAGTAAAAATTTCAATTCATATCAAAGTTTCAAGATTAAATTATTTTTCAAGTTTATTATTTTATTTTGTACTTAATACTTATATTCTCTTGTTTATAAGGTATGAGTTTGTTAAAGATTTCCTAATAGTTTAATATGGTTAACTAGTAAAATATGAACCACTCGTTACAAATGTTTATACTATAGTTTAGTTATGACATTATTAAAAAACCCACAATCAGCATGCAGTTGAGTGGCCATATGAAATTCACACTTTCTCCCCTCTAATTGTTTTTTTTTTTTTTATAAATGAGGAAATTTTATTGAGACGGACAAAAAGAAAATAAGACAAAAATTCAACCAACAGTCGAAAAGGCTTTTTGCAAGGAATAAGAAAGGGTGAAAGGGATTCTTCTTCAAGAAAATATTTGGTCGAGGACAAGGGATGGGAAATTCAAATTATAGCTAGATAGGATCGGGAAGAGAGAGAGATTTCCCGAAAGAGAACTTGAAAATTGACCGTGCAGCAGGTTTAAGCCCAAGCCCGCAGAAAATTTAGCCCAATCAAACCGCAGACACAATGGGCTGAAAGCCCAAATCAAGAGTTTTAGCTTTCCTACACTAGTCCGGCCAAATCAATGAAAAAGTTGAACCAATAAATAAAGCTCGCAAGTGAACGTAAAACAGAAACTTGTGCTTACTGTAGCATTGTAAGAAGCGCTCACAAATATATTATCTCTTCAGAAACGTTGAGTTTTTCCACAAAACAAAACAAAAACGCTACACTAGTGATCATCACCTCAGCCACCGCCGTACGACAATGGACTCCATAATCAATCCAAAATCCACACCTATAAATTGGCTATGAAGACAGATTGTGTCTACCATCCAGCAAAACAAAAGCGCAGAAGCATTAGTTCAGCAACGTAGAAAATATCATAACAATGGCTTCTCATTCCCATTCCGTGTCTCACAAGGTGATTTTCTGGGCTTTGGTGATTGCTGTTGCTGCTGTTGCGATCACTCCATCGGCCGTTCTCGCCACGAAGATAACCGTTGGCGGAGACCAGGGCTGGACGAAAGGCTTCGATTACAAGGCTTGGGCACAGGCCACCAAATTTCACGCAGGCGACAAGCTTTGTGAGTCATACCAACTACTAAATCATTTTTTTTTTTTATTCGTTTACTTCTCTCGACCCTTTGAGCTAGCTATTGAAATGAATTTGATTTTTTTATATAGTCACATTAACTATCACGAGTCTTAATTACAGTTTTCAAGTACCCGAAGGGCGTACACAATGTATACAAGGTGAACCAAAAGCAGTTCCAGAACTGCGACATCACATCGGCCACAAAGAAGTACACTTCTGGAGGGGACACCATTACATTAAAGAGCGGAACAAGTTGGTTTATCTGTGGCGTAGGGGATCACTGCAGGAATGGTCAAAAGCTCGTCATCAATGTCAATTAAAACTCAAGTATTATACCGCTGATCAATTAAAGCATCCACAAATCGTTTGGATGTCATTGCGGCCGACGGGAAGCTCGATCGTTTGCGTTAAAATTTGCATGTGGTTTTGAAAGAAAAAGAAAAGAAAAGAAGAGTAGCACAAGAAAATGTCATTTTTAGGCAATAATAAGTAAGCTACAAAATTTGCGATGTGATACTACTTAACTGGGTTTTAATTTGAACTTGTACTTTCTTTGAGAGTATGTCTTTCATTTAATGCAAGGCTCTTATACCAGACTTTAATTTGACCGCCAAAGCCATATTATCATCATGTATCCTTCCGAACATCTGACAGAATTAGAACAATATATATATATATATATATATATATATATATATATATATATATATATATATATATATATATATAAATATTAGTAGATTATAATGATTTCGCACTAGGTTCATTCAAGTCAAGGAAATGTGAAGTAAGAATGGTCAGAAGTTTGTGATCAATGTGAAGTAAAGCTCAAATACTACTGATCACTGATCAGTTCCACAAATAGTCTGAATGTCGTTGCTTGCTGGAAGAAGAAGAAGAGTACGTGGCACAAGAAATTGCCATTATTTGGCAAATAATGAATAAGCTACAAAATTTATGATTCCGGGGTTTTGATTTTGAAACTTGCAATGTGTGTGACGAGCCATCGAGGCATGTCGTGTAGTTGTCTTCTTTTATACAAAGATTTTAATTTTAGAGTAATGTCTATTTTTTATTCAAAATTTTTTCAAATTTTTTCATATTATCCAAACTTATTAAAATGCTATTAATTAGCCAAATTTTTTTCGTAATGCATTAAAATATTAACCATTTTACGTTATCGTTAATAATTTTGTAACTTTTTTCTTAGTTAAAATACTGAAATTTACAATGTTGATCTTCCTGTGTCACTTGCAAGTTATTATCATGTTGACAAGTTTGCAATGTTGATCTTCCTGTGTCACTTCCCAGTTAGTATCATGTTGACAAATCAATATTACTAACAAAATTGCTAACTGAAAGTTAACATTTGGCTAATTTTTAGTATTTCCATAGGTTTGGATAATATAAAAAAATTTAAAAAAAAGTTCAGGTAAAGAATAGACATTACCCAAAATCCTTAATTTTATTACGAGAAGCACATTATTGTTATATATTCGTCTGAATACCTGACAAAATGTAACAATATTATAAATAAATATATTAAAAGATTATAAGGATTTGGGAGCGGATCAGGTCAGTAACTCTATGGTCAGTAACCATAAGTAACATGTCCACATCAGCATGACATCAGTAGACTCTCTCTCCTGGAAAGTCTTTTATCTTTTCCCCTTTAATTTTTATCGGACGATTTATCTATCCTTTTAAGTAGAAATTTATTTTTTTTGCAAAGATAAATCAGATTAAATATGCTCTTCAAAATGATATCCACTTTGATATATTTTTAGTTCAAAAAAATTTGAATAATTTTTTACCAGTCATTACCATATGATATGCTCCAATTTATTACCATATGGTAAGAAAGCGTATCATGATGGTATGAACATACCAATATGGTAAGAAGGTTGAATACATGATAGTAGGAGTATATTAATTGTCATTTACGACTTTCATCATTGTTTACTACAAGTTACCACAAGTTACCAATCACATACCATAGTAGTAAAGTATGGTAATTTTTTATCCAGTATTTTTTTCACCCAGAAATTTATAGATCCAATAGATCATGATGAACTCGTTCCTTCAGAGCAAACGTTTTCAAAAACGACTTATAAACGAAGAAGTTACCATATGGTATGTAGTTGGTAAAAAAAATGTTTCTCAAATATATTGAAAATTGATCTCATTTTGTAGAGCACAACGAATTCGTTCCATCTGTGCAAAAAAAAAATTAAAATCCGAGTTAGAACGAAGAAGATAAGAGCCAATTAAGAAAATTAGGAAAAATAAAATGTCTTTAATTGACAACCTTTAGATCTGAATTTTCTGGACCCACTAAAATCTAAAGGTCCATATTTAGTTACTCATAGGTTAGTAACCATTGGTTACTGACCCTATCCTAAGCCTAAGGATTTCTCCCTTGGTTCATCCAAAACAAGTAAATGAAGGAATAATCATGTGAATATTATGGTAATTTATTAGTTTATATTTTCATCCCTCTATAATATATAGCGGTACTTCATGAGATTTTTAGCATTTCAAATTCCTTGCACTCTCCTTAATTGTAGCTAGGGGTAAATTTGTAAGGTCAACTTAGAACTTAAATATCTTCTTACGAGAAAAAAATGTCATTACAAAGACTTGAACTCGAGTCCTTGTAGGGCATCAAAAGGAACTTCAAAAACCTCTTCTCTCTCTAAATTTCAAATCCTCTAACCTCTCTCTTCCCTTCAGTTTCCACTCTCCATTAGGGGGGTCGCCGGTTCACCGGTTGGTGATCTGCGGCAACCCACCCCTTTATTTCTAATGTCCTCTCCTTTTCATTTTGCCAATCCCTCTGTGGATCTTCTCCAATTTCTACTTTGATTTCCCTTTTGTGGAATTTTCCATAATCTCTCTTCAGAGATGGTTGTCTCCATACTTCAGATCTTATTTTTCAGATTTTGAGGTCGGTTCTAGTGTGCAGAGGGAGTTGCTTTTGCAATTTATATCCCTCCTCGTGACTTTTGGAGCCTTCCTCCTTGCTTGATTCAGAATGGCGTAGTGTTTCGTTGGATTTGGCTTGATGCCAATGGCTCTATTGTCTCGTGGAGTAGATGTAGGGATGATGCTAGCTTTTCGTGGTTGGTGCCATGTTTTTGTCTTTGCTTTCTTCTTGGATTTGGGTCGTCGATGGCGGGTGTGGGTGTTTGTCCTTTTGGGATGTGGGTTTTTCGCTGGGTGTGGTTGTTCGACGGCTTTTCGTGTTAGTTGAAGGTGGTCTTTGGTTGGCGGCGGCGGCGGCGTGGCTGTGATGTTTCTTCTTCTCCTGGTGTGGCCTTGTTGGGTTTGTTTTGCGGCGGTGGTGTGGTGGACGAGGGTGGTTAGCGGTGGATGGGGTTGTGGGTTGTCGTGTTGCTTGTTGTGGGTTGGGCCTTTTGCTTTTTGTTTTTTTCTGTGTTTCTGTGGGTTAGGGTTTTTGTGTATGGGCTTTCCAATTTACTTTGGACTAGTTTTTATCTTTCCTGGACCTAGTCCAAACTCTGTATCACATCTCCTATTTCGTAATGAAATCAGGTTTCGTCAAAAAAAAAAAAAAAAACTCGAGTACTTCAGATTGATAGTCAATATCCCTAACCAACTAGACTACAACAATGTTTATGTATTATTTGAATTAAAGAGAGAAAATACTGAAATATCTCAAAATCATAGGACTATCCACCACAACAATCAATCATCGAATTAATTAATAACTGTAATTATTTATAAAGTGAATCATCATGATATACCTAGCTTTATGAATCAACTAAGTGAGTTCCTCTAATCACACAATTCTTCACCAAGAATCAAATAGTACATTTTGAGTTTATGTATGTCTTACAACTTTTGCATTTATTAGGTTACATGACTTTGTAGGAATGTACAAGGATTGTTTACAAAAGTGCTATACAAATTTTATTTCAAAACATAAATTTTGACATTTGTGATCTATGGTTTTGTAACGAGACATTTTCAATGCTATAATTGAATGACCAAAAATCATTGGCTAACAATTTCTCTAATGGTTGACAATTATAAGCATGGAATTGAAAGACTAAATACCATTGAAAAATGAGCCAATTATCATTGGCTAAATTTAACAAGAAATGGTATGTGTATATATATTGGAAATTCTATGGTACGCTCGATGGATTGAGGGTTATTACATCTCCTTAGTTAAATAACATTATCTTGACCATAGATTGATCACGTAACTTAACCCTATATCATAATTCTCTAAATTCTAATATAGTGCATATGGTATGTATACATCTTGGCGAATCAGAATCATTGATTATGTTCTTAGCATATGTGATATTAGGTTCTAACTTCTATAGATTTAGGGTATATGATTTAATTATTTGAAACTTAATCTCTCTTTTCAAATTTCCTGCAATGAAAGCGAAATTAGAGAGTATATTTTTGTCTTTACAATTATCTGTATTTTTTATTTATTTACAGAAAAAGATAGATATATTGAGATTTGAACCATGGTAAATCCAAACACAGTGAAGGTTTAAAATCAATCAGACTATGTAGATTTGTTGTATTTTTTTAAATTAAAAATATATACGAAGCTAAAATATGAAATCACAGAACTTTTCAACAGTTAGCTAGCTCAATAAATATTCTGTAAGTACTTATTTGGTGTTTTATACTTCACTTTTGATATGTTTTATTTTAATTATAGTTTAATATTTAATTTAAAATTTTATCTATCTTATAAATAGACGATAACCATAAATTTGCAACCAAAATATTGTTGGTTCTAATATATCATATCAAATTATAGTATTGAATATGTAGAAGCGGTATAGAATTCTTAAATTACCATTTATTTTCATAACTATAGTGAAGCAATCATATCTTTGTGCAAACTATAGGAGACTGGTTCTCTGAACATTTTTGTCCGGTTAAATACTAAGTTTTGAAACTCTTCCTAGGGGTGTACGTGGGTCGGTTCGTTTGGGTTTAGATATTTTAATCACCTAACTCATATACTACAATTTTGAAAACACTAAATACAAATCCACCCAAATAATTTAGAATTTTAACGGTTTTGTCCTCCATACCAAATGAACCAATTTACATGTCGCTTAACTAAGGACGATCTCATTGTCCAATCCCGTCATTCTAATGTCAATCCATAAAAGTAACCCATATTCGCGTTTGTTAACACATGTTTCACATTGTCATTACTGTGACCGGTAACTTCGCTGCAACTGATTCGGTATTGCTCATCATATGGCCACCAAACTGATAAACATATCGGGCCATCAGTTTTATGAAAAAACTCAAAGTGAAGACGACTCATCGTATGGTGGAATATTGGCGCTTGCTGGTGTCC